ATCGACAAAACCTTCTTGATTTTGCTGAAAATATTTAAATTAAATAATCTTTGTTTCAACATTATTTAGCTCACATCACTGTATTACCATGTGTAGTCAGGATATGCTTCATGCTGTTTAAACCCAAATTAAAACCCTTTGCCTATGCCAAGAGGTACTCATGCAGTGCAATATGTATCATATAACTTAATATAAACTGAATGAAGTTTGGTTTGTGGTTGAGATTTAGAAATATTGTACAGCAACATCTCTATAAAGACTTTCCTGTCAGCTGTTTTTATTAGAGCTATTTTCTACCAAAGAAATAGTCCGTATAGAAACTACTGACAGTTTAAAATTCCTGAGCAGCAGTGAATGAATTATTTATGAAAATGAAATGAATCTATCTATGGATCACATTTCAAACAAAAGATGGAAACTGGGAGTGTCAATGCCTCCATAATCCTGACTGCTGTGTTATCAGTCAACCAGGATCATGTTGGTAGTGACAGTTCCAGTTGTTACACAGTCTTGTCCCCTATCAACAAACAGTAGGTAAAAATGAGGGGAAGAAACCAGATTCACTACTATCCTACTTTTAGAAACACACAAGGCATGGAGTTTGATGACGTGAAGTTTGCAGATAACACCACCATCCTCGGCCTGATTTTAAACGACGATGAGACTTCATGTCAGGAGGAGTCAACAAAACCGAAAAAGTAGCTCCACTACATGAAGAACAGGAATCTGATATCACTGTAAAATTTATATATTTTAATACAAATGCTAACAGTAAATGACAATTGAACTAAATGCAGTAATGAACTGTAAGTAATTTGAGTCAAAAAACGTATATAATTTCAGTTATATTCATTGCCATTAAAGACACTTGTTGCTCCTTTTTTATGCTGAATTTTTGTGTCCATGGTAATTAGACCCACTTAATATTAATTGTGTGTTTGCAATTACTTTCGTTTGGGCAGAGCTTGCTTAATGTCACTGCATTCAATGTGACTGTTTCTGTTACTGCTTACTCCCATAAATGAGTGGTTACTAGAGTAGAGTAAACTTTATTGTCCCCAAGGGGGACTACAGAAATAGTCCTGATAGAAACTGTTGGCAGTTTCTAAATCCTTTTAAATTCCTGAGCTGCAGCGAATGAATTGTTTATGAAAATGATGCATGAATCTGTACACTGATCACAATTCAAACAAAACATGCCAACTGGGAGTGTCACTACCTACATAATCCCTACAAAACTAACAGATTAAAGAAGCAACATTAGGATTGAAAATTATTCTCTGCTTGTATGTTTTGCAAATATATATATTTTTGAACCCTCCTAGGTCTCCTGATATCTGAACTCCCTCAGTGCAAAACAAGTGAAAAAAGAGAAAATCACACACACAAATATGGAGTTAAAGGATAGGTTTAAGACTGAATCACTATTAGTTTTTATAGAAATAAACATGACCTCTTATAGGAATGTGAACATAAAAGGAAGATAAAGATATTGCCTTAAAGTATATATATGTATGCATCTATAGTATATGTAGATTCTTTCAAAGCATTTTGACTTTCTGAATGAAAAAACAACAAAACAGTGCAACCAACAAGATGATTCTCAAATCCATAGTTTATACAACTACACCAGCTCTTCTTCTATTAATAAAAACATAATAACCTTTTTGTCATATGCCAGCACTCTACTCTCAGTAATCAGTCGGTTGTTTCTCTAATAGATTTGTTGTGAAAAACCCCTCTAGGCCACGTGCAATTGTTTTTCTTAAAGCTAGACAAATAATATAATGCATTATCACAGATTAAACTACCCAGTATCTAAAGGAGTTACAGTACAACTAGCCTATGCTATTCGTATATATTGGACTTTTGTATACTTTTCCTTCTTTGAATACTACATGAGGCACAGATATAGTTGTGATGACAATGTTTCACTGATACCTAATTTATCCCTATAATTTCAATGATCAATAATGATAAATACATCTTCTTTTTCTTTTGTTGTAAATAAGAATTACATTTACATTGTTTTGTTATTATAAATTCTTTATTATTTTAATATTATGTGTTGGTATTTAATTTTAAGACATAACAGACACACAACAGAGAAGTTATACTGACTGAAGTTGATATGTCAGATTTAACTATTAGCTCCTTTCCATCTGCAGTCCTTTTACATACCAGAATGCCAACGCTGTCCAAATCTTAACATTTTGACCAGTAAGGAGCAGCTAGACCAGCATTAGCATTCAATCGATAAAGGTCCAGTTGAGGCCGAAAAAAATAGTTTTACTTACGACACACACAACTCACACCACTTCCAGTTCACTACCTGCTCTGTTCTGCTGCTGCATTTATTCTACTGAATTTCGCCACTAGAGTGCACTTGAACAACATTAGACAGTCCTTTTCCACTATGTAGGCTGCTTGCACAACAGTCAACCCCATTTCCAGCAGTTTTCAGTTGATATCACACATATCTTCTCAACAAGACAAGTATTTTTACAGAGAATCTAACATGTTAAATAGGCGTATATACTGCTGTCCCATTCGATCTGAATTCAACCTGTTAAGGGTTGACATGTCTCCTATCAATAACTGGTACACTACCATACACAATGAACGGGGACTAGAGATGATTTAAATTATAGCTTCTGGACACTGAAAAGTAGTATCTTTATGGGAAGAACATTTAACAAATAATCAGCTCTCCATTAGGCTCACTGTCTCCCTGCTTACTGGTCTCTTCTCACTACTAACATGCTGCAGTTCCCCGAGGTGACCACAAGGAGACACAACAACTGTGTCTTAACAGAACAATCATTATGCAACAAAAGGTCATACAATGAAATGAAAGTTTGTCCCTTGATGTCACTCACACAGAACATAACAGGTAATCAAATGCATATTACAAAAGGGTAACTTATAAAGTATATAAAAGAATATATAGTTATTTATACACATGCACTCACATACAAAAATTCAACATTTGAGAAAGCGTCCGTCCACTCTGACTGTGTTTGAGCACCAATGTGTCATTGATGTAAACACAGAGTCCTCCTCCACATAGTCCGCTTGATAAACTGTTATGCAGTTAAATAGACGTTTACTGTATTATGAAATAAGTGTAGCACAGACAGCCAGTAAAGGTGCTGCTGCTGCTGTCAGTCCCAGAGGCTTCCCCGAGTCTCTGGTCGTCTCTGGTTGAGTCTCTTTGGTTGTGGACTCTCTGGTTGTGGACTCTCTGGTTGTGGACTCTCTGGTTGTGGACTCATTGTTTGTCTCTGAGGTTTGGGCTTATCAGCAGCTGCTGCTGTAAAGGACGTATAAAGGATTGTCTAAAATGGAAACATTCTCCTAACTACTACCATACTGCTATCTCACTGGAGCTATGATGTCTATTTTAAAGATGTGTTTTACTTTACGCCTGTGGAGTTCTTTTTAAACGTTGAAACAAAAAAAAACTTTTTTAAATTAAAAAAATTTTTTCTTTTAGGAAAATTAAAAAAAAAAAAAAAGGGGGGGGGGATTTTATGGCCACAAAAACCTTTTTTTGTGAGCTTTTGGACAATAAATAAGGATAAACATAATGAAATGTTCTTTTTTTTTTTTTTTTTTTTTTTTTATTAAAAAATATTTATATTTTTTTTTTTTTTGTTTTTTTTTTCCCCTTTTTAAATCACCCCCTTTTGGGGGGGGGAAGGGGGGTAGAAAAATCTAATTTGAGATCAACTTAAAACAAGGAAACATATCGTTCAAGATCATGAACGTGACTCTTGAAGACAAAGGGAGATACAGATGTTTCATCCCCAAGTTAAAGAGTCGGATACAGTTTTCAATTGTTCATCTTGTTGTTGGTGAGTTAATCTGTTAAGGTTGAGAAAATCAATTTTTATTTATTTTATTAAAGATCAGTGTTTGTCAGCAACTTGTGTTCCTGATGCAAACTATTATTGTCTGTATTATAAGTCATTATGAATCAATTGTCTGTTCTGCAACTCACAATATTCCAAACTTCTGATCCGACGGATGTTAAAGGTGAGAATAATTATTCATTCCAACTTTTGAACAATATCAGCAGCTGCTTCTCATTACAAGTGTTCAACTAGAAAAACACAAGGGGACTTTTATTGTGAAGGAGTAACAGTTAAGGATGCATCACTAAACTCAAAAGTTACGGTACCACCCACAGCATCTGTTGGTTACATGTTACAAATAATAGCCTTTAAACACTGAAGGCTGCTGTGCCACAAACAGACGTATGGAAGTTTAGTTACAACACTAGAGGAAACATAATGTATTTGTCAACAGGACTGAAATCTTAAGGATTATAACTTTAATCTCAATGTCAGTGACATTCATGTTGTGTGTTTATTTCAGTAGCTCTCATCATCTCTGTTTTGATTGTTCCTATCAGGTGGTTGGTCCAGGCGGAGCAGACCGGTCCTATTGGTGTTTGTCTGCATCTTGGCAGTGGTCCTGATGGTCGGTGGAGTCGTGGTATATTTGAAAGAGAAAAGTCAAAAACAAGAAGTACGTCAGAGACTTTAATTCAGTGCTGGAAAGTAAAAGAAATGTCTATTTTGGGAGACAGTTGACTAATTAATCATTTTATTTGAATTGTCCTTTCAGCTCATAAAGGCACCTATAATCTGTATATAGTGCCTTGCTCAAGGGCACAATGCTAGACATTGCTAACAGAAATGAGAGAACTCCCCTCCGCTGTCTGGATCTTCCTAACTAGTTCAACGTTTCAAACCAGCAACCCCTCCAGCCACAGGTGGAGACACTGGATCTGCAGAAGAGAGGATTTATGTGTCTCAGAGAATATTCACAGACAATATAACAACAACATATTAATCAGCAACAGTATCCCATTGAACCTGAACCGATTAGAATCTATAACCTATATATTGTCTCAAGCCGTCTGTGAACAGCTCCGTCCTCCTGATGTATGTAGAGAGCTTCATGTCTGTGTCCTCGCGGGTGTCCCTGTACAGGTGCACATACTCCACCCGGCTCAGCCTGTCTTTGGGGTCAGGCTGAATGTCTGGCCTCGACCACTCCACCGTCAGTCCCGCCACATTGACCTGAGGCACCACGTGACACGGCAGGATAACATCATCACCTGGAGCAGCAATGATTGGCTGAGGGGAACCGACCACCTGAGACTGACCTGAAAAATGGAGGATACATTTAAGATCTGTTGGAAAGCGAGGGAGGTCTGACTCTCTGTCTGTCTCTCTGTCTGTCTCCACTCTCTGTCTGTATTTACTTTAGTTATGCCCTTTATTTAACTTTTCTGCCACACAATCTACTTAATAACATGTAAAACCTTTGGTTAGCCTGTGTTAAGAAGAAACACTGAGCCTGGCTTCCCTTCCTCATCACTTCCTGACTACATTCATTAAAATGTTTACTGGAAAAGCACATGGATTATTCCCTCATCAATGATCATCCTCAGGTTGTTATTTCAGCCAATGAGGTAGGTTAGTGTTAGTATATAGGTCTAAAGAAATCAGTAAACTAAACATATCTCAGAGAATATTCACAGACAATATAACAACATCATATTAATATTAATTAATTCAGAACGCTGCAGCACGAGTACTGACAGGAACTAGAAAAAGAGATCACATCTCTCCTGTACTAGCTACTCTGCATTGGCTCCCTATAAAATGTAGAATTGAATTTAAAATACTCCTCCTCACCTATAAAGCTCTTCATGGTCAGGCCCCTTCATATCTTAAAGAGCTCATAGTACCCTATTACCCCACTAGAACACTACGTTCTCTGAATGCTGGGCTACTTGTGGTTCCTATAGTCTCTAAAAGTAGAACAGGAGCCAGAGCCTTCAGTTACCAAGCTCCTCTCCTGTGGAACCAGCTTCCAGTTGTGGTTCGGGAGGCAGACACCCTCACCACTTTCAAGAGTAGGCTTAAGACATTCCTCTTTGATAAAGCTTATAGTTAGGGCTGGATCAGGTGAGTCCTGAACCATCCCTTAGTTATGCTGCTATAGGCCTAGACTATCGGGGGATTTCCCATGGTGCACTGAGCTACTCTCTTCCTCTCTCTTTCTGCACTCGTTCATGTCCCTTTAATGCATGTTACTAACTCCACTTCTTCCCCGGAGTTCTTGTGCTTTCTCGTCTCGCAGGTTCTCATGGATCCTGGTGGAGCCTCCTGCCATGGTCCTGCTTGACTGCCATTGCCAATACTGTTGTTGCTGTGCACCTGTCTGTCTGTCTGTCGCTCTCTCTCTCTCTCTCTCTCTCTCTCTCTCTCTCTCTCTCTCTCTCTCTCACCCCAACTGGTCGAGACAGACGACCACCCACCTAGAGCCGGAGGATCTGTCCTAGGTTTCTGCCTTTTAACAGGCAGTTTTTCCTTGCCCTTGTCGCCAAGTGCTTGCTCATGGTGGTACTGTTGGGTCTCTGTAATTAATGTTAAAGAGTTCGGTCTAGACCTGCTCTATTTGAAAAGTGTCCTGAGATAACTTCTGTTATGAATTGGCGCTATACAAATAAAATTGAATTGAATTGAATTGAATTAATATTAGAATCTATAGCTTATATATCAGATTATTGGTGATATCTTTACTTGTTTAGGCTAAAATGTGTTAGATGAAGATATTCAATAGTTTACATGTCAAGCTCCAACAACAGGTTACTATGGTAACAAAGCTTGTTCAGTCAGCAGTGGTGCTGCCACAGGAGATGCTACAAACAACAGTGCCATAGAGATATAAACAACATCCAGCTTTAATACTTCATGGTCGCTGAAAAGCAGCAAGGCTTCATGAGGCTTCATTTGTGTTGTCTATCGTTCAGCATACAAATGAATCTGGGAATAAAAAATCAAATTCAGGCTAACAGGCTGCATTTAGTAGAGTTTATCTTAAACAGGTGTGTCGACCAAATGCAGACAGCAAAAGCCAAACAGAAAGTTACAGGAGAGAGAGAGAGAGAGAGAGAGAAACACTGAGCTCCTCCAGGTCCATTAGAGCCCTAACTGCACACACACTGTGTTCATATCCAGAGAGACATTACAGTGATGGCAGGAACGGTTGTACAGAGCTTATTAACAAAACCATCACAACCCCATTTACCCATGACTCCACTCATATGGGAAGTAAGTTTGAAAGTATTTGAAAGAGAAAAGTCAAAAACAAGAAGTACGTCAGAGACTTTAATTCAGTGCTGGAAAGTAAAAGAAATGTCTATTTTGGGAGACAGTTGACTAATTAATCATTTTATTTGAATTGTCCTTTCAGCTCATAAAGGCACCTATAATCTGTATATAGTGCCTTGCTCAAGGGCACAATGCTGGACGTTGCTAACAGAAATGAGAGAACTCCCCTCCGCTGTCTGGATCTTCCTAACTAGTTCAACGTTTCAAACCAGCAACCCCTCCAGCCACAGGTGGAGACACTGGATCTGCAGAAGAGAGGATTTATGTGTCTCAGAGAATATTCACAGACAATATAACAACAACATATTAATCAGCAACAGTATCCCATTGAACCTGAACCGATTAGAATCTATAACCTATATATTGTCTCAAGCCGTCTGTGAACAGCTCCGTCCTCCTGACGTATGTAGAGAGCTTCATGTCTGTGTCCTCGCGGGTGTCCCTGTACAGGTGCACATACTCCACCCGGCTCAGCCTGTCTTTGGGGTCAGGCTGAATGTCTGGCCTCGACCACTCCACCGTCAGTCCCGCCACATTGACCTGAGGCACCACGTGACACGGCAGGATAACATCATCACCTGGAGCAGCAATGATTGGCTGAGGGGAACCGACCACCTGAGACTGACCTGAAAAATGGAGGATACATTTAAGATCTGTTGGAAAGCGAGGGAGGTCTGACTCTCTGTCTGTCTCTCTGTCTGTCTCACTCTCTGTCTGTATTTACTTTAGTTATGCCCTTTATTTAACTTTTCTGCCACACAATCTACTTAATAACATGTAAAACCTTTGGTTAGCCTGTGTTAAGAAGATACACTGAGCCTGGCTTCCCTTCCTCATCACTTCCTGACTACATTCATTAAAATGTTTACTGGAAAAGCACATGGATTATTCCCTCATCAATGATCATCCTCAGGTTGTTATTTCAGCCAATGAGGTAGGTTAGTGTTAGTATATAGGTCTAAAGAAATCAGTAAACTAAACATATCTCAGAGAATATTCACAGACAATATAACAACATCATATTAATATTAGAATCTATAGCTTATATATCAGATTATTGGTGATATCTTTACTTGTTTAGGCTAAAATGTGTTAGATGAAGATATTCAATAGTTTACATGTCAAGCTCCAACAACAGGTTACTATGGTAACAAAGCTTGTTCAGTCAGCAGTGGTGCTGCCACAGGAGATGCTACAAACAACAGTGCCATAGAGATATAAACAACATCCAGCTTTAATACTTCATGGTCGCTGAAAAGCAGCAAGGCTTCATGAGGCTTCATTTGTGTTGTCTATCGTTCAGCATACAAATGAATCTGGGAATAAAAAATCAAATTCAGGCTAACAGGCTGCATTTAGTAGAGTTTATCTTTAACAGGTGTGTCGACCAAATGCAGACAGCAAAAGCCAAACAGAAAGTTACAGGAGAGAGAGAGAGAGAGAGAAACACTGAGCTCCTCCAGGTCCATTAGAGCCCTAACTGCACACACACTGTGTTCATATCCAGAGAGACATTACAGTGATGGCAGGAACGGTTGTACAGAGCTTATTAACAAAACCATCACAACCCCATTTACCCATGACTCCACTCATATGGGAAGTAATGCCATGTGGGTGAAACCCGACTACATACTGGTTTTACTGGGACAGCATCTTCAGCCGATAAAAAAACTAAAAAACACCCCAAGGAAAGGGCCGGAGTTACAACAAAGATAAAGTGTGTGTGTTGGTGCTGTGTGTGTGTGTGTGATGTGTGTGCTGTGTGTGTGTGTGTGCAGTGTGTGTGTGTGTGTGTGTGTGATAATGTGTGGGAGGGTGAGTACACTGTTGCTGGGCGGCTCTCATTCTTCGGAGGCATCTGTATCTCTACTGTAGTGGAGTTAATCATTAGCAAAAGGAATGAAAAGTGGCAGCTCAGGCGTTGGATACACAGTGGTGGGGTAAATATAGTGGTTTAGTGTTTTCAAGGGGATTTGCTGTCAATAAGAAAATAAAAATGCAACATCACCAGATTACCATTAAAATGTATCATTCCTGATGTTGTCTTGCGTGCTACTGTTTAAAAAGAACCACAATCTGCTTGAAATAGGTGTTTTGTGTGACTCTTCTAGTTTGCAGAAGTAATCCTGAAACTTCAGCAAAAATCCTTTTACATATATGAAAACAGGCTGACCTTTGCGACTCCTCCAGAGAAGCAGCAGAATCACCACGACTAGCAAGAGGCAGACGCCCACCACAGGAAGCAGAATGTGTGCAAGGGGGGAATGAAAAGATTCAGGACGCCCAGCTTTAACACAACAGATGAGAAAAAAAAAAGCCACAGTTTGACCTCAATGCAAACAAAACAACAGCTCTGTCTGTATGCTGCAGGCTTTGTGCTAAGCTAGGCTAAAAGCATCCTGGACAGATCTCTCCAAACACACAGAGATTACATTTATCTAACTCCTAATGTTCAGAAAATCATCTCTTTCATTCTTTGACCTTTTTGAAAATATGTGTCTATCCAGGAAAGATGCCATTAACACATGAAACTAAATAACACCCTGCAGACAAGACTATAACAGCGTGGCTGAAGATCATCTCACCTCTGACAGCCAGCCAGCTGTCTGGTGATTGAGCTCCAGAGATGCTACACTTGTAGAGACCTTCATCGGACTTTAAAACACTGAGGATGCTCAAATTTCCCGAAGAGCTGTTCCCAATGAGGAGGCCATTTTTATAAAATTCAGCTGTGATATTGGAGGAGACTGTCATCTTGTTGGTGCAGCGCAGAGTCACATTTTCTCCCTCAGGCACAGGAAGGACGGGACTCTCCAGGATGACAGAGCCACCTGTGTGACACAACGGCAGAAAGACCAGAAAATATTTTAGAGCTCAAAAAGCCTTAAAGCCTAATACCTTCCTGGAGTCTTTGCTGGTTGCCAACAAGCCAAGACTGCTAGCAGCTGGCCTAAACCAAGAAATAGTCCAGCAAATAACCCCCATAAAACTATTTTACTTTTGGACAGAGCCATGCTGGTTTCTACCTGCTTAACGGCTCCAGCTAGCTTATGGGTAAGTCTGACTAAGGTTTCACCAATAGTTACATACAGTACCCAAGCCTTTGTCTACAAAGTAGGATTTATCTACCATCAATGTCCGAATGCAATGGCAGTCTGTAGTGTCCTTTCACTGTGGACCACATATATCCAAAAATGCAGGATTGCCATGAAATTTGGTACAGACATTCATAGTGCCCAGTAGATGCCTCGACTTTTCCTCTCGTGCCACTGTGAGCTTGATATTTGTGGTTTTAAGTAAAACATGTGGTCGATTGCCATGGAATTTCCCCTCATAGAGTCTTGTTTTTTCCTAAAACACCTTCTAGTGAGACAGTTAATGGCTGCAGTTGGTAGTTTGGTGAAACCCACCGGTTACAGTGATGTTGACGGCACTGCTGCACTCTCCAGCTCCAGACTCACACCAGTACACTCCAGTGTCAACTGGGTAAGAGTCAGCAAGAAGGCACAGTGACTCGTTTCTTTTGCCCCACGTTGTGGAACACTCTGCGTTCATGTTTGTGGATGTGTTTCTCTTAACCCGCCATTCAGAGGCATCCCCACAGCTCAGTCTAATCGACTCATATTGAAAGAACTGGGTTCTGCTGGGAAAGACTCTTAAAGAGGCTGCAAGAAGAAGAGAGAGGATGACAAATTGAGATTTTCATTGTAAATGTGTTCACAATGCGGAAAACAAAGTCCTGTGAATACTTGCAGAGATGAACAACCACTCAAACCAATATGCAGTGTCACCTTCATTGCATTTTGTTGCTTCCTTTTTTCACTACGGATATGATTCGAATAATGAAAGCAGCTCAGAGGTTTCCAGTTCTCTGGAACTTCTGGGCAAAAGAATGATTTGACAATTTTTTGACAATGGTTGGATCCATCATTTGGGTGTATGAGAAGCTGTGAATTGATTCTGTTTATTTTCTATTAATAATGCCAAATGGGTGCTTGCCGCCTAGAGTAACCAATGCAATGTAAGCCCACACATTGACACCATCTGCCTCTTCACAACCTTTGCAGTTGCACAATGTGAGATAACATGTAACCAAAACTTCACAAATCACCCACGAATCTGAATCTGAAGTCAGCGTCAAGTAACATGGACAGTTTTAAAAGAAATGCTGTATCTCGTTCGTGCTGAGGCGAACAACATGCAGAGAATATCTGGTCGTGAAGGGGAGCGGAGGGTTTTGTGTTGGACTGTTTACGGTTTTGTTGTCTTCCTACTCTCACGGTAACACGACTGTAATTAATTAGTATTTGCTTCAACTCAATTCACAACAAAATAAAAACCTCCGGACGTCACAGACAATAACTTCAACGAGACAAAGAAAAAATAGTAACATGTACAGACATTATTTAGTAGAACTATTTATTGATTCATAGCAGCAAAATAACTATTGTAAATTCTATTCTACAGTAAATGTTTGATAAATAAACAGTAAAATACTAGAACGCTTTAGTACTCACCGACAATAGTGCACAGTGTCATGAGCTCCATGCCTGGTCGTTGATCGACTGATACTGACACTGACAGTGACAGTGAGGGGTGCATCACGCCCCTGAGCTGACTGTCTGTCACCTTGTTTGTGCAGGATGTGTGTAAGTGTTGCATTTTTAAAACCACAAATGAGAAATGTTTTACTTTCTTCAATCTGATGACCTATAATGTGTAAACACAAGAAGGTGTATAGGAATTTTTTAATCGTCTCCTGCAAATGAAAGTGGTGCACAGGGCCCACATCAACAGCATGCAGGTTAATGGTAAATGGACCTTTCCCATTTGTGCTGGCGTTGATTGTGGCTTTGCAGCTTTTGGAGGAAGGTCATTTTAAGACTTTCCTCGATCGATTCTGGATGTAAAGATACCTCAATATCAATAAAGTTAGTTTGTCTCATAAAAATAGAAGGGGTTTAGAAATTGTATTATCTGCTTCTAACTAGAAAACTATGCTGTTACTTAAATTGTGCCACTCAGAGGGGGCTCATATATGTTTTGTACAGGACTGCATCACCCTTTTTATAGTGGTAAGAATATATCATCTGACAGCACTTACTGACATTAAAGAGAACATTTCAGGCATTAAGAAAGACCGATTGGTCACCTATTGTCACACTACAGTGCACACAAGTAATGAGCACTGTGTCAGCACCTCACATGCAAACACGTGTAATAGTGATAACACCAACCTGGTAAATAATGAGAGGGGAATGACTTGAAAAATAATATGTCATGGAACTTTTCAGCTGAAAGTGTCATTTGGCAAGAAGAGAGGAAAAACAGTTTTCACCAATAGCATAGGATGATAAACAACCAGGAAGTGCAGACCACAGACCACATGGTAATAACCATGCATTACTTTTGGTTTCCTTCCTGCAGCTGTAACCGATCCAATGTCCAAAGTCCAGCCCTGGAGTGCAGTCTGCAGGTGAGGACAGCCCTCCGACAGATCAGTGTCCATATAAGACGGTAAAATTCTCCAGCAAGGGGCCACTCAGGGTCTGCTGGTGGACCCCCGTGTGTTTGCATCATTCAGAACAACACAAATAACCTTTATTATACCGAAGGTGCTGCCTCAGCAAAACCAGTTGGTTCACCCACATGACGATACTTCCACATAAGTCATGTGTAAATGGGGGCGTGGTGGTTTGTTCATAAACTCTGAACAGCTGTTCCTACCATCACTTTAATGTCTCTCTGGATATGAACACAGTGTGTGTGCAGTTAGGGCTTTAAATGGACCTGGAGGAGCTCAGTGTTTCTCTCTCTCTCACCATCTTCTTGCTGTTTTTCGCCTACACACCTGTTGAAGGTAAACTCTACTATTATTATATTTTCCAGATTATTTTGTACCCTGAATGATAGACAAAGGAAACTGTGTTAAATGTTTTACTCATGAAGCCTTGCTGCTTGCAGCAGACCATGAAGTATTAAAGCTGGATGTTGTCTATATCTCTATGCCACTGTTGTTTGTAGCATCTGTTGACTGAGCAAGCTTTGTTACCACAGCGATAATGAACCATAATAGCCTGTTGTTGGAGCTTGACATGTAAACTATTGAATATCTTCATCTAACACATTTTAGCCTAAACAAGTAAAGATATCAGCAATAATCTGATATATAAGCTGTAGATTCTAATATTGATATGATGTTGTTATATTGTCTGTGAATATTCTCTGAGATATGTTCAGTTTACTGATTTCTTTAGACCTATATACTAACACTAACCTACCTCATTGGCTGAAATAACAACCTGAGGATGATCATTGATGAGGGAATAATCCATGTGCTTTTCCAGTAAACATTTTAATACTACTAATATATAGTCAGGAAGATACAATAGACTTTATTGATCCCACACTGGGGAAATTCACTTGTTACAGCAGCTCTAGATGTAACACAGCAGATAAGAAAAGAAGAAATACACATTAAATAACAAAGCAGCACTGGTCCTTATGGCGCTGTGATCGTCGCTTTCACCAGTCAAACACCACTGTCAATATCATTGCCATTGGGGGCTGCAGAGTGCTTCCCAGTCTGTTGTCTCAAAGCAGTCTCTGAGCCTATAGCACTGTACTAGCACAGTGATGAGGAAGGGCAGCCAGGCTCAGTGTATCTTCTTGACACAGGCTAATCAAAGGTTTTACATTTTATTAAATAGATTGTGTGGCAGAAAAGTTAAATAAAGGGCATAACTAAAGTAAATACAGATAGAGAGTGAGTCAGACAGAGAGTGAGACAGAGAGATAACAAAACAGTCCATTTTCAGGCTTTGGTTAGAAAGATGAAGGTGAAGAAGAAATCATGCATCCAAATCAACAAAAGCATGTTTTTTTGCAATGGCCCAGCTAAAGCCCAGACCTGAATCCAACTGAACTTCCGTGTGCAGGACATTTGAAGCGCTTATGCAAGAGAGTGGGCAAATATTCAAAGAGTCAAATTGTGGCCATGCAAATAGGCTCCTACCCAAAAAGACTGTGTGCTGTAATAAAATCAAAAGGAGCTTCAACATAGTATTAGTTTAAGGGTGTGCACACTTATGCAACCGGGTTATTGTAAGTTTTTTATTTTTCCCCCTAAAAGTTTATTTTTCAACACTCATGTAATAGGTCAAATTAAAGGTAGAAAAAGTTCTAACATGATTGATCTTTGTCTCATTTTTTTACAGCACAATAACCTGGCATTATAACAGAGAAGTGTGGACTTTATATATCCACTGTATCTGTTGTAACTTGTTTAAGATAGTCTGACGTGTCAATGGAGACATCAGGCTATTTTTAATATTTGAGAAGTGGAGCTCTCTCAGTACTTTTTTGGCATTTCTAATTAAATCTGTGGTTTGTGTTTAAGTTTAGTTTCCGTCCTGTGTCCCTGTTTGTACTTTCAGATGTCAGATTGTATTTTACTGTATCAGACTCACTTCCAGCTGCTACATTTAATTTAAAGGGGGTTTAATCAAGATACAATGCAAGTAGTTCAGAGAGGCACTTCTCTTTTCCAGTTGTCTCAAGGATTTAAAGAAAATGTCATTTATAAATGGCACAAAGCTTGTAGTAACTTTAATAAATGTTGTTCACTGTTCATGTTGTTCTCTGAGATATGTGTAGTTTTCTGTTTATTCAGCCAGACTTTTAGGAACAATAGGCTACTTAGATTTGATTTACTTAATGATAATGTTTCAATAAACTGAACAGTAATTTGGCAAGTTGTCTAAACTTTACAATAAACTTTACATTAAACTTTACAATAAACTTTACATTAGGCTAGTGACCTCCATTAGTGCTGCAGGCTTATTGCTTGACCAAGAGGTGGTGACTTTATCTGTTAAATGTTGTTTGTGATCCAGATTAAAGCTGCAAATAAATATTATTTTTATTGTTCGATTTGATTGGTTGATGAATTAATTATATCAATATTTTGTCTTTTCTGTACACACAAGGTCAGTGACTCATATCTTCAAAATGTGACCTGGATAAAAGAGAAGCTGCTGCAACTTAGATATCTTCAAAGTCCTAATGCGATGAAAGAGACGGATGTTAAAGGTGAGAAAATGCTTAAAACTGTGCCACCTTTCCAACATTATTGTGTGTGTCATACATACATACATACATACATACATACATACATACAAATCAAATTCTTTACATTTTAATCACACTAGAAAAAGTGAAATTGTGTTTTGTGAACTATAAACAAGAGTTTTGTATTTATTATTAGTTTTTTTCCCCCTTTGTTTTCAATTCAGTTTAATTTCACTTAGTTCCCAGTTTGGGTTTACTCTTTTCAGTTTAGTATGACCGTTAGAAAAAATTTAGTTTTTGTTTTTTAGTAAACTATATTTACGTTGCTTTAAACGTGCACCCACCTCCCTGAAATCATGTTCCTTCACCCAAAGATAAAAAAATATATATGTATGTCTATAATGTCTATGTCCCTCCCTGTGAATATAAAATAAATGCTCTTTTCCTCTCTACCACGATTGTTCACCAGATCAACTTGAGTTAGTTTGTCACTGGACGCACTGAAATCCACAGAGACACAGCCTGTACAATCCATGCTCCTACAAGAGAGGATGTTCTTGTATTTTAAGTTCACTTGTTGTTCATTTGAGATTACAAAATTGTACATGGTGAGAGAGTGCCATTGAGCTGAATTAACAGTGGACAACAGCAGCTTTTCTAACTCACTGGAGCCATCTTGTGGTAGATGTAGATTCCTGCATCCAAAGCTGTAGATTAGAGTTTGTAGTTTGGTTGGCTGATGTTGTTTTTGACATTGTAACAGACTTCCCCCTCTGTCTCCTCTCACAGGCAGAAGATGATCTGCAGCATCCTGCTGCTCATCAACCTGACCTCCTGTGTCTGTGGTTAGTTTACACCTTCAATTTATTATCCATGAAGAGAAAAGTCAAAATACACAGCCACAAAGACTTTCTTGAGTATTGCACTTGGGAAGGTGCTCTGGATTCAGTTATTGCTTAGACTGTATATATTCTTGGTATCTTGCACCTTTTGTATACTGTTGTATCTTTTAATACTTAGCTTTGTTTCTAAGAGCACGCTGTTAGTCAGGTACACTGAGAAATACCAGCCTCTGATAGAACAGAGATCATCATCACAGGACACCAAACTCTCCACAGAAACATCTCTAGATGGAGTTTAAAGGCTCACATGTTAAAGTTGTCACTTTGTCTGGTCCTCACTTTCCCTCTCTGTCTCCTCAACAGGAACATTTGTAGTGAATGTGACACAGACCTCCTATCAGGCAGAGAAGAACCATAACATCACACTGGAATGGACGTTCACAACCAACACTGACAGTTCCCTCAATTCTCTTTATATCTACTGTAAACTGTTTACTGATCACAAGGTTTCAGTCCTGTTTCATCTACATGAAGGTGTCGAGGTCTCAGAGTCTCAGGATGAACAGTTTGCAGGACGAGTCCACTGCGACAAAGACGTCCTCAGAGAAGGACGAATCAGACTTCTTGTGTCCAGACTCAGGACTGAAGACTCGGGCCTGTACCTGTGTAAAGTGCTCACAAAGTATGATGTCAGCACTGGCAAATGTCAGCTCAGTGTCACTGGTAAGTTGGTTCAATAAAACATAGATAGATAGATAGATACTTTATTTATCCTGAGGGATATTCAAGTATCCAGTAGCATACGAAACATACATTCATTTTAATTAATTAAAAATGAAAATAAAATGAACTTATAACACAGTAGCCACAGTAAACAGTGCAAAACAGTAAACAGTGCAAATGGAGTGCAAATGGAAGTAAACAGTATAGATGGAGGTAGAAATTGTCCTATTGTCTATTGTCCTCACTTCCTTGACTAGAAGCTGTTGTACAGTCTGGCCAGGGGGACGAAAGAGTTTTTGGGTCTGTTGGTGGAGCTGGACTGGGACAGCAGTCTGCCACTGAACACACTCCTCTGCCTGGTTATTATGGTTATTATCTACAACCCAGGAGTCTTCCTCCTAGAGTCTGGATACCTAGAACAAAAAGTTTGCTGTTTATTACTTGAAAAATTAAAATGGCAGATTATTAATATTGTAGTTTAGATATCACTCAATGAGGCAGATGGTTGTATTTGGCTGAATGTCTGCCCCAAGTTTGTAGTAAGTAAAACACAACTTCAATATACATGTTGTATCTCCAGTGAAGTAGTGAATAATGAACTGTTCTGCTGTTGTTTTTTTGTCTTCTGTTTCAGTAAAATGATTCAATTTCTGACAATAATCCACATTTTATGTCCTTTACAGCAGCAGCTGCTAATAAGCCCAAATCTCAGAGACCAACAGAGAGTCCACAACCAGAGAGTCCACAACCAGAGACTCGGGGAAGGATCAGCCTCTATGCTGGACTGGCAGCAGTAGCTTTACTGGCTGTCTGCTTTACCTTCAGTCTTTGTTTCACTAAATCTACTGATAAGGCAGTAAAAAAATTGAAAAGCACAAACACTGAGAATGGACTTGAAGTGGACTTGAAAAATGTTTCCATAGTCACAGAATCTGGACTTTTCCATAAGGGAGCAGGAGTTGTTCATTTTAAGAATCTTAAACAAGGCAATTGAACGTTTTTGTGGAAAAATCCTATCAGACACAAATGATTGTATTGTTAAACATATCTAGAGGGCATCTTTAAATATTTACACAATGTATTGTTCAGTTACTCTTTAAGCACAGATGTGTGTCTTACAGGGTTAATATGTGGTGAAATGAAAAACTCTGAACTTTATATTATATGACACATGTTTGACATAAAAATCTAAATATAAAATTTTTTAATACAATTATTATGTGATGAGAAAAGCTGGTCTGTAGTTCCCCAAACCAAAACATACAAGTATAACAAAATAAAAACCCTTTCTTGTACCATAAATAACCTTTAAACCTGATCACATTTGTATCAAGTTCAGTTAAATGAGCTTTACAGATGCACTCACACATGAAAGTCTTTATATTGTTTTAATGAAATGTACATGAATAAAAGCAGGCACAAGATAGTATTGATCTAACAGTTCATTATATGTGATTGAACAGTTTAAAATATGATAAATGTAAAGACCAAAAGAAACAAATTAACAAAGAACTGTATGTAAACACTGTTAGAGCAGGAAAGATTGACAGTTCATGATTAATATTAATATCTTCCCTTCTATGAAATGCTCAACAAAGATGTTCGACGAGATGTTTATTAAAGCTCTCTCTTGTAAAAAAAGCTGACAATGAGACTGGGTCAGGTCATTTTGTGTCATCCAGTGGAGCTTTATAGACTGTTGACTGTTTTTCAGTCTGGTGCACCTTGGTCATGTAATAATTTCACTGTCTGTAAACAGTGTTTATGTACAGTTTTTCTCATTATTATAAAAAAAAAGCCTATGCAAGTTTATTTGCATACCAACAGAAGCAATTCAAAATACTGTGTATAAGGCAAAAGAAATGCATTAGAACGTCATAAAACATCAAAAACTAGATATACAGTTTATCAAAGCAGAATAAATTGTAATGTTAATTTCCACTATCTGAAGTTATACTTGTTGTTACTCTGGTATTGGTATAACATTTGGTAGTAGGCAAAGACTTTCTGGTAATGGTAGCAGGTGTGGTTAATCAGCCCAACAATGGTAATAATCCTCTAAGAACAATTAACAATACAATTTAAAGACCAGCGTGTAGGATTTAGTGGCATCTAGTGGTGAAGCTGGCGTCTCTTTTTTCACAACCTGGGAATGAGAACGGGCTGGGAAGTGTGCAGGAGAAACTATGGTGGCTGCAAAATGCGTAAAAAACTTCTGGGCTGCTGAAACTAGCCGGTCCAACATGACTGACTCCATGGCAGTCAACCTGTGGTGTCAAAACAGCTCATTTTAACTGAATGAAAACGCAATAATACTTACTTTCAGGTGATTATACAATAATGAAAACATACTTGGGTTTAATGTGTGTTGAAGGTTTTCATTAGCTTTATATTATTTGGTTTTATTGAGTTATTATTGCATGGTTTTATTGATGTTGTTGGATTGGATCAAGGTGAACAGAAAACAGCTGATTAACTGGACTACACCACAACGTTGACAAGGGCCAAATTGTGATACCTATCAAATGTGGTCCAAGGAAGGAAAAGCGGTGAACCGGTGACTGGTGGACTGTTGGTTCTGATAGAGAGGTGTCAGAATAGATAATTGCAGTTTGTTACGTATGGGGCTGCATAACATTATGACCACCAAGGAAGCCAAGGTGGTCATAATGTTTAATGTTAATGTTGATTTAAATTTTCTTGTGTGTGTTTGCTTGGTAAATGTGGGCCCACTGAGTTTGGTGTGAATATAATCTAACCTTTAGTTATATTGTGTGTGTTGCAGTTAGTGGGAAATGTTATTTCATTGCTGTAACTCTCAAGTTATAAGAAAAAAGAACAAAAGTGTGATTTAATTTAAAGGAGAGTAAATATTATTTCATTTTGTTTATTTTGAACTTTTAGAAAGTAAATAATAGAAATGTATTATTTCTAAAAAATGATTCCAGTGTGATGCTTGGTTGTTTCTTTTGCTAAAGGTATTTAAGAATAAGATGTAAATACTGATGATACATAATTTAATTGCACATGCTAAGTGTTCAAATGTTAATCACAGTGCTGTTGGTAAAAAGGTTAAGTTAACAAAGCCTAGTAAAAGTGTTAAAGGTCATTAGAGGAGAATTAAAATACTCAAGACCACCGAAAGTTAATATAAGAAAGAAATGAAATAGGAACATTACTTTAAGCATTCTTCATTGTAAATTAAGAGAAACTGATTCAAAGAACTCAGGGCTTCTCCCTGACTAAAATAAGGATAGGTAGGTTGCATTTGGACATGTCTTTTTAAAGGACAGTCATTGTTTATTTTCAAACTTTTTATATTGTGTTGTACCGATTACATTGTTTAAACATCTTTAGTCCTCAGTGACCTTTCTTTTTTTGACGGCAGAAGTACTTGTCCGAAACATTCTGAAAATCCCGTCCTTATATAGTCTGCATGTAATTATACTCCCTCTAGTTGTACTAAACTTGTCCGGGGTCAGTGTAATGGCAGATGATTGTTGGGTAGTAGTTGCTGGATGACTAGTCATGCTTTTCAGTGGGTTTGGGGGTGAGTACAGTTGTGAGAGTCACGCCAGAGGGAGATGTAAAGGGCCAGAGGTGAAGTGGCAGATGTGGTGTAAACCAGATGTGGTACTAAGAAGATTGGTAGAGGCCAGAGTAGAACTGTGTGCAGTAAGAAGAGAAGATGTGGTAGAAAGTGGGCCAGATGTGGTAGATTTGGTAGAAGTGGGTTCCTCAGAAGTGATAGCTGTTTGAGTCGGAGCTTTGGCTGTTACATCAACCCTCTCAGCGTTTGTCGTTTGGGGCATTGTAGTTATTGTAAGCTTGGTCGTACTACTACTGTCTGGAGGACCTGTGGATTTGGTAGCAGCAACAGAAACTGTTTTGGCTGGAATAGTAGAAATAAGCTCAGGCGGAATTGCAGGTGTTATAACAGACATAAGAGTTGTAGCAACAGTAGTGACAACATGACGATCGTTGTTTGGATGAGGTGTTGTAGCAGGTTTACGGGCAGAGACAACAGACTCTACCACTCCTAAAAATACACTTCCAATTCCACTAAAGAATTCTGCTAAAGCAGAAAACAATCCACTCCCTGGAATAGGTAATGTGGGAACTGGACCTCCTCCTCCTGGACCTTCCTCGTCTTTCTTCTTTGTAGTTGTTGTAGTTGTAGCACTGGTTGTGGTAATGTTGGTGGCAGTGCTTGAGGGAATGCTGGTTGTTGTGGTATCATGGTCAGTTGTAGTTGTGGGAGGAGCAGATGTAGTTGTAAAAGGGCTAGATGTGGTACTAAGAGGGGTAGATATGGTCGAATGTGGGACAGATGTGGAACTAGGTGGGGCAGATGTGTCGTTAACAGGCGCAGATGTTGTAGTAAGCAGGGCAGATGTGGTAGAAGGTTGGCCAGATGTGGTTGTTGGAGGGGCAGAAGTAGTAACGGGTGGTGGGCATTTGCAAGTCTTATTAAGTGTTGGGTACAACTGAGTGACAGTTGTGTTGAGAGGACATTGTGTTCCTGGAAACATTGAGCTGTTTCCCAGTTCATTATGGAGCTCTGCCAAGGTCTTCGTCTGCAGATATTCATCACCACCTCGGATGTTTTGTCCCCAGTGCGCACTTGCTAGCCAATTCATCTCACGTGTACTATAGCAGCAGAATGCTGACCAGAGCATGGAAGGAATATTGATCGTGTTGTTGAGGAAGTTGTTGGTGCTGGGCTGTGCTCCAGTTACCAAAAAGCCTTCAGTAATATTATTATTGTTGATGCAGTATTCATCCAGAACACATTTGATGCATTGCTCCATGTTTGCCCAGCTTCCATTGTTGAATAGGATGTCTTGTGGAACAGCGTTAGTCAGGGTAAAGGTAGATCTTTTATCATTTTTGGTAGACGCATAAGAGTTTGGAAATAAATGCCCTCTGTTGAACCCTCTGCTGTTATTGTAATCGATGTTTCCAGCTTGGTAGTAGTAGGTCGTGTTTCTGTTTGCACTCCTCATGTTCTTGTCATCAGTTATGTTCTCCAGCTGTAACAATTGGAGCGCCAGGTTACTGATGCAGGCAGAGTAGTAGTGAAATACCATTGAACAATGACAACTTGGTTCCACAAAGTTATATAAGTTAAAAGTAATTCAGCAATCGCATGCATTTTGAACATGATATTGGGTAATCTTACGCAGTAACCTAAATCTTATTATCTGCTTTTTTCCATTTTACAAAGCAAACTTGGAATAACACCAGTTATACAACTGTGATAATATCAGCTTTTAGCCAAAGCCAGTGAGTAAAGACTTAAAAGTCAATACAATACAACAATAAACACAATCACTTAAAAAGTAACAACTATTATTATGATTAGTAGCAGGCGTAGCAGTATCAGCATGTAGGTGTCAGTCAAGACAATAGTGCTATAGCAGGCACTGTGGCCAGTTGTTGATTGGTTGTGGGCAGTATGACTATAGCAGCACAACCATATAGTAAATGAATATTTTTTTCCCTATGTAGTATTACAGTATCATCACAGTTTACTTTTGATTTAAAAAATATATTTCAATTAGTTGATGACTATTTTGCAAAATGTGCCTAGTTAAAAACTTGTAGTTCTGAAGCTGCTGCTATGGTTGTGGATGTTCTACTGCTATGCATGAGTGTGTAGAAGTCACCCTAAAAATACAATATTATTGTGAATTGGTAATAGTTTAGTTTAAAAAGCCTACCTGTGGTTCTATCTTCCAAGGGGTTTTGGGTCTCGGGATGTTGCTCTTCCCAATGTACTTGTAAGCAGAAAACACTGGGATCTTGCTCTCGGTGTCGTAGAGTGTCACAAAGCTTCTTGTGTTGTTCAAAGTCTGGCAAATGGGTTTGTATCTGTTCTGGTTCAGGATGTTCCCTCCCTCCAAGATTCCCGGGATATGTGGTGGAGTTTCCTCAAGAAGAAACCCTGCACAGTCCGACATCGACCCCACCACTTCAGCTACTGTGGGAACGATGGATAGAAGGAGGAGAGCAGCGAGGGGCAGGAGGCACCACATCTTCAGTGACCCCATCGTCAAACACTGTATCACTGGGTCCGAGGAGAGAACAAAAAGAATCATCAAACTTCACAGTTTTAGTGATGTTGCAGTTACATTACCTCACTTTTTATACTTTCTGGAGGGATATATTTTCTGATATCTTCTGATACAAAGTTAATGATATTGGGCTGTTATGCTTTAGTGGTGATGGCAAGAAAAGTAGTATATTTTTTTAAGTTAGTGATCAGTCACCTTCACACACAAATCATACATCAATACTAACCTAGGTTTACACATAATCCAAATAATGCATTGCAAAAATAGTATATTACAGTTGACTGTTGAACATCATGTCAAAATAAACTACTAACTGGATTTAAATTGTAGACTTTTCTCCACTCATCCAGCTTTATCATCTGATGGTGAGATCTAGCAGGCTGACCCAGATAATGTTACACAGGGAAAAAATTACAAAGTATAGGAAATACCAACAATTATTCTATTTCTTGCTAAATGGTTTTTGGACAAATCTATCTATAAAATATACTGTTAATATACTTATAACATTTGTTGTTACTTCCATGAGTTTTATTCATATCAGCCAATTTCCTCCCTCCAAGGCAGTGGGAGGGGCGTCACATGTGTTATCATTATACTTTGGAAATGCAAATGTGCAGTAACAGGACTTTTTTTTTTTTCCATCTGTGACATTTAGCTGTTTAATTTCAGAAAATAGTTATTAATAGAGCTTCGAGATGCAATAAGCAAAATAACAGACCAGTCATTTGTTGTCAACTATTTGTGTATAGGCTGTAGAGAGATTTAAACTAACATGTTTTAAAATTACAAATACAAAGATAAATAAAATGAATCATAAATGGGGGCAAAAATGCTTACCACCAGTCAGTTTCGTTAAATTCAGCTAAGTTTTCCAGTCCGTCAGTTCACACAACAGTTGAAACAAGATGTCAACCTCAAATATGAACTGAGCCTAAGGGGGAAGTCTTCTTTTTATCTTATGAAGTGAAAGTGGGTGTGCTCTAACCATCAGTAATGTGTTTACTCGTAAATACACTTTAAACTTCCACAGAAATCTGCAACACTGTGCTTCACATTCACATATTGGCAAAGACAGGCCCACCCCAGTTTGGTCTAAAATTCTGCCAACTGCAACATTCATTTAGATTCATTTGTATAATAAGTATATATACATGTCTGTATATATATATAGTTATATATACGTATATGTATTTGCAAAAATGTCTGATTTGGAAATAAAGTAATTTATTGATTTCTAATGCCAACTTTAGATTTATTTTACCCCTTAAAGTCTCTGGGTGCGGTCTCACTATTGGTCCATATCAGAAGCTGCTGTGAAAATGATTGATGATTTTCTGAAATTTTACTGAAACAGAAAAATAACCACAGCAGACTGAAAGCCAATTCTTTTGTCAAAAGAAAGAATTATTGTGAATAAGTGGCTGCCATGGCAACATATAATTATTATAAGTAACTGTTATATATACTATACTGTATCTATGATGTGCAGAATATATTAATATATATATTAAAGATGTGAAGAAATTCAGCCTAATACAAAAAAGATTGTATTGATAATTAATAATTATTATTAATAATCTGCTACTTTAATTTTTCAAGTAATAAACAGCAAACATATCTGGTTCCAAGCCATCCAGATTCCCAAACAGTAAGACTCTTGGGATGTAGATAATTACAATGGGCAGTTTTAGCCACACTTTGATCCAGACCTCTGGGCCTGTGCTACGAAGCAAGGTAACTGGCTTATCTTCCTGATTAACTATAAAACGTGGATATGTTTTATGCTGTTATGGCAAAATATGCTCCATCTGTAAACTTCTCAGAGCAGGTTATCTTGGTGGTTAACTCGATGTTACCCCTATAAATCATCTCTCCTCCGTCCTCCGTCCACAATCCTGTGGAGAGGCACATTTGGAAGACGCAGACGGATTGTAAGATTGGAGGGGAAGGATGTTTGGCAACCGTAAGAATACTGTAGTTTATCCCGATTATGTTCTCTATGAAAGATAGCGATTTTCATCGTAGGGAATTCAGCCATGTGCTGCCCACAAGCCTCCCTGACTTTGTTGGCCGCCACAGTGTTAGAGTCGGCCATGAACTTTTCTTTAAACTCTTTATATCTGATATTATCATAATGTGTTCTTCTGGGGATAAATGCAGAGCACGGGTCATAATGAGAAAAGAGAGCTTAGAGAGCCATTGCCAAGTACCCTTTAGCCAGGTTGAGTCAGGTACAACACTTCATTGATAAAACCCTGGAAGTGTAACTGTACACAGACATTGAATGAATGAGAGTCTTTCTGTCTGCAACTCCTGTGAGAGGGTGGGGGTAATTGAGGCTAGTTCTGTGGAATAAGCTGTTCCTCAGAATGTTTGTTCAGGCTGTGGTAGATTCATTTGTCTTCCCAAAGGACAAGGGGACAAACAGAAATATCTCAAACATCCCTCTACTATAAACCAACACAAAAATTACAGCAAACTTAACAAACTACTCAGTTTTACTCAGTTTGATCGATGACCACAATATACTTTCAGCCACAGACTGACCCAGCCCCGAACATCAAAAGCGGTTTGGAGGCCCGTTTGTATCTCTCTCGTCTGCCATCAGACTCCACAACGCCACAGCACCCAGTATTTCCAACCCCCGCTGACTAAGACTGGTTTAAACTCCAACCTACAACGCACAAACTTTTTGCACAACTATTTATATTCAATTTCTACATGTACAGTTTAGTTTTAGTCAAGCTGCTCAAATATTTGCACACCATTCTTACTTGAATATTGCATAGTGTATATACTTTCATTTATAGTCTTATATTTTCTATCATATTTTGTATTATTTTATTTTGTGATATCTTGTTGTACCTCCACTTTTTGCACCACATTCCCCTGTGTTGCTGTGTCAATTTTGAATCTATCCTAAGGGGGATCAATTAAGGTACTGTACATCATCTTATCTTAGAACGTCTCAAAGGGGTTCTTGGTGCAACCTTTCACAGATGGTTGTAGTTAACCCCATGAAAGGATTCCAGATGAAACCTTTATAAAAACCTCTACCTAGAACCCAAAAAGGGTTCTCCTATGAGGACAAGCATTAAAACCATAAATGGTGTAGCATGGGTCAAGGGAGAGCACATTAAATTTTGGAGCAGAGCTGAATCATGAGGCAGATACACACTTTAGGTCAAAGTTGATCACGTCCTCCCCAGGTTGGTGAGGCACGTGGAGTGGATCTTGTTGATGTTTCAGGATTACCTCTGCCAAGAAAATAAAATAACACAAAACACTTCAAGCAGATTGTGGTTCTTTTAAGTATATAAACAGTAACACGGAAGACAACACCAGCAGTAATACAGAATTAATCTGCTGATGTTCTGTTTTTTTATTGTGAACAAATTCCTTGAAAACATCAAAAACCAACAATGAATGTACAGTATCATATAACAAGCATTCACTTTTTATCCAAAGCCTGATATATCCTGATATATTCCTCTCTGGCATAAAGCTCATTATTGTCCAGATCTATTAAAAAAAAATGTGCCACACTGTTGCACTGGGTGACGTGTCCCCAACAAATGCACGATTTACTCCTGTTTGAGTGAAGTTTGCTAAAAACTACAGTGAACAGCTGCTTTAATAAATTATGATCCTGTTTTGAAAATGGAACAATATACTTGTTTGTAAGAAGGTACATCATCAGTTTGAGTTAATGGGCTTCGGGCCACCGATTACGAAAGTCTGGAAGTCTTTCATGATGTTTGTTGACAATCCAAAAAAATATAGACTAACACCATCCTCATCTTTTTACATTTAGCGAGAAAGTTAATTCTTAATAGATCAACGAATGCAGCATTAGGATTGAAAATTATTCTTTGCTTGTATGTTTTGCAAATGTATATATTTTTGAACCCTCCTAGGTCTCCTGATATCTGAACTCCCTCAGTGCAAAACATGTGAAAAAAGAGAAAATCACACACACAAATATGGAGTTAAAGGATAGGTTTAAGACTGAATCACTATAAGTTTTTATAGAAATAAACATTATCTCTTACAGGAATGTGAACATAAAAGAAGATAAAGATGTTGCCTTCAAGTATATATACATGTATGTATCTATAGTATATGTAGATTCTTTCAAAGCATTTTGACTTTCTGAATGAAAAAACAACAAAACAGTGCAACCAACAAGATGATTATCTAATCTGTAGTTTATAAAACTTTTCTTCTATTAATCAGAAAGGTGGGAAGTTAACCTTTTTGTCATATGCCAGCACCATACTCTGAGTAATCAGTCAGTTGTTTCTCTAATAGATTTGTTGTGAAAAAACCCTCCAGGCTAGACAAATATTATAATGCATTATCATAGATTAAACTACCCAGCAGTATCTAAAGTAGTTACAGTACAACTAGCTTATGCTATTGGTATATATTGGACTTTTGTATACTTCCTTCCCTGAATACGACTTACTTGCAACAGTATTTCTAGACTGTGGTATTATTTTCACCTAAGATCTAAGTACTTCTTCCACCATTGAATGAGAATGTACTTTAATGCATTTAAAGCATTTAGACTGCATGTTATTCCAGGTTGCAGAAGCAGAATGAAAAGAACTGATTTTCCTAGCTCAGTAAAAAAAAACAAAAAAAAAACTGCAATATAATCCAATCCCACAAAAATAGTAAGGGCCTTATAAATAAATAAAACCCAGCGTCTATCACACCTTACAGAGAAAGCGGGCCACCCAACCTTATACAGCTCACAAAGATGAGTATTATAATCAGACATGTCTATTACACCACAGGTTGCCTGTACATGTGACTGAGAGTGTGAATGGTTGTCTGTATGGGTCAGTCCTGTCATAAAGTATTTACCTCGTCTCTTGCCCAGTGCAGTGGAGCCCACTGATTTTAAATTCTTTATTGAATAAACTGAATATTTTGAGCATTCCAGAGGATGAAGCATTCAGATCCTTAAGTACCAATACAAAAATTTAGAAATCCATCAAGTAAAAGTCATACTTAAAAGTATTATTGTTTAAATGTACTTCATCAAAGTATTAAAAGTAAAAATGTACTACTAATTTAGCAGCATAAAAAAAACTGGTGGTTTTTAGTGTCTGACCAGAACCACTTTTGGCAAGGGACTCGGAACAGTGTTTGCTTGGATGGGCTTTTGCTTGCTTGGTTTTACTAAGTTTTCCTGTGTAAAGCACCTTCTGTATTAAACGAGACATATAAATAAATTTGCCTCGCTGTGTCTTGTCTTGCTAAGGCTTACCCGGGGTCAGTGGAGTGGCAGATGATTGTTGGATAGTAGTTGCTGGATGACTAGTCATGGCTTTTTCTGGAATGGTTGTAGTTTTGTGAAGACTTGTTGGTGGAAGAGTTGTAGTACTGGTTGTTGTGGTAACATGGCCAGTTGTAGTTGTGGGAAGGGCAGATGTTCTACTGCCAGATGTGGTAGTAAGAGGAGCAGATGTAGTTGTAAAAGGGCTGGATGTGGTACTGGGAGGGCCAGAGGTGTAAGTGGCAGATGTAAGAAGTGTACACAGTGGGCCAGATGTGGAATTGGGAGAGGCAGATGTGACAGCAAGAGAAGTTGTGGAACTGGGAGGGGCAGATGTGGTAGGTTTGGTAGAAGTGGGTTCCTCAGAAGTGATAGCTGGTTGAGTCAAAGCTGTGGCTGTTACATCAACCCTCTCAGAGTTTGTTATTTTGGGCACTGCAGTTGCAGTAACTCTCACGCAGAATATTGGTCAGCATATTAACATCATATTTAAAGTCACAGCATGAACAGCAGCTACTTTTTTTCTTCTTTTTCCCAGCATGACTCATCACTATGTTATTTGCTTCTGCTTTTAATGGTACACAGGTATCTTAAAACCTGACTGTTGTTTGTACTAAAATATTACAGATTTGATTACAGAACAGCTAAATTAAATATTTATTTGAGTTTGGTTATTGGCAAGTCAAAAATTAAGGGTTGGGGGAGTTCTTATGACCAATGCTATAATAAACCTTTTGAAGGTTGCATTTATTTTGACTTCCAGATGTGTTCCTACCTTTATCCTACTTTGAGTAGGCCCTAATTAGAGACATTATATGCATGACGGCAATCAAAGAAAAAACAGAATCCTTTTAGAGAGCCAGATTCTTTCCATTTCATGGTTTGTCCATTCCCCTCATCATAAATATGTTTCTATTTTCACTTCAGCTGTTTTGAGAAGTAAAAGGTGCAGCAGTGTCTGCTTACATGTGTCAGTCCCATCCTTCTTGCCCAGTGCACACTGGTATTGACGCCAGTTCTCCCATGATACTCAATGGGATGGGCAGTACGTTTTTTTGCAATTGCCAAAATACAAAAAATGGTTCTTGTGGCACAATTACTGAAACTACTTACCTGTGTATCTATTGACCAGGTATCCTAAATCACAAGCAGATTGTCAGGAATGCTGAACCATAAGCACAGATGCTGTAATTTCGATGTTATTCACATGAAGCTGTCAGACTGTCTGGCTGTACACCTGACTGAGAGTGTGACTGGTTGTCTACATGGGTCAGCCCTGTGATAAAGTGTTTTCTGGTCCTGTCTTTACCTCGCCTCTTGCCCAATGCATGCTGGAATTGGCTCTGGCCCTCTCATGACAGGATCCAGTAAAGAAAATATAAGGTGTGTTGTGCAAAAGTTTAGGGTCAAAGACAGCAAAGAAAAGCAGACTCTGATAAAAGGAACCTCTGATGGAATGATGCCATGATGTAGCAACATATTTTTCTGAGCTCTCACATCACCATCTATAAATTCAGAGTCACCTTCAAATGGGAGACTGTTACACCACCTAGTGGGATTTTTATCTAATCCTTAAGCAGTTAAAAGTACAAATACAAATACAAATAGAAATCACAAACACAACACAAATTGTTATTCAAGACAGAGTATTGTTAAACATATCTGGAGACTAGGGGGATTTTTTAAATATTTCAACATTGTATTTGTGTCTTGTGTATAGGCTTCTTATGTGGTGAAATGAAAATCTCTAACAAGGAATAAAGAATTTTATATTGTATGAGAAAGGTTTGCCATGAAAAAAAACAAACAAAAAATTCTATACAATTATTTACGTGATTAGAAGAGCTTGGCTGTAGTTCCCTAAACCAAAAAGTACAACAAAATAAAAACCCTTTCTTTTCTTGTACCATAAATAACCCTTAAACCTGAAAAATCTATCAACTTTGTATCAAGTTCAGTTAAATGAGCTTCACAGATGCACTCACACATGAAAGTCTTAATATTGTTTTAATGAAATGTATATGAACAGAGGCAGGCACATGGTAGTATTGATCTAACAGTTCATTATATGTGATTGGACAATTTAACATCTGATAAATGTAAAGACCAAAATAAACAAATTAACAAAGAACTGCATGTAAACACTGTTAGAGCAGGAAGAATGACAGCTCTATAAACTGCTCAACAAAGATGTTTGACGAGATGTTTATTAAAGCTCTCTCTTCATCGTCATTTTGGGTCATCCAGTGAAGCTTTATGGGCTGTTTGATTGTTTTTCAGTGCACCTTGGTCATGTAATAATTTCACTGGCTGTAAACAGTTTTTATGTACAGTTTTTCTGATTAATGTTAAAAAATACTGAGTTAGGCAAGCTTATTTGTATATCACATTTCAAAATTGTCTGTATAAGTCAAACAAAGTGCATTAGAACATCATTCAAAAGCATACTCAAGATATAAAGTTAATTCAAGCAGAATATATTGAAGGATCGTCCCCCCTTTCAGTGCTGAAAGATTTTAATCAATATGACGTACACTCATTGCTTGATTAAATGCCTGGTATGAATACTAATTACACATGAATCACCTGCTAGTTGTAACTGTGGTACTGGTATAATGATTGGTAATAGGCAATGACTTTCTGGTAATGCTGAAAAATGTATATTTGATCAAGAGGAGGACACAGCAGTGAGGCATTTGGGGTAGATGTGATAGAAAGTGGGCCAGATGTGGAACTGGGAGGGGTAGATGTGTCAGTAAGAGGGGCAGATGTGTCAGTAAGAGGGGCAGATGTGGATCTGGGAGGGGCAGATGTGTCAGTAAGAGGGGCAGATGTGGAACTGGGAGGGGCAGATGTGTCAGTAAGAGGGGCAGATGTGGAACTGGGTTCGGCAGATGTGCCAGTAAGAGGGGCAGATGTGGAACTGGGAGGGGCAGATGTGTCAGTAAGAGGGGCAGATGTGGAACTGGGAGGGGCAGATGTGTCAGTAAGAGGGGCAGATGTAGTAGAAAGTGGGCCAGATGTGGTACTAATAGGGGTAGATGTGGTATAATGTGGGACAGATGTGGAACTGGGTTGGGCAGATGTGCCAGTAAGAGGGGCAGATGTGGAACTGGGAGGGGCAGATGTGTCAGTAAGAGGGGCAGATGTGGATCTGGGAGGGGCAGATGTGGTAGAAAGTGGGCCAGATCTGGTACTAAGAGGGGTAGATGTGGTAGAATGTGGGACAGATGTTGATCTGGGAGGGGCAGATGTGTCAGTAAAAGGGGCAGATGTGGAACTGGGAGGGGCAGATGTGGTAGAAAGTGGGCCAGATCTGGTACTAAGAGGGGTAGATGTGGTAGAAAGAAAGGTAGATGTGGTAGAAAGTGAGCCAGATGTGGTAGGTTTGGTAGAAGTGGGTTTCTCAGAAGTGATAGCTGTTTGAGTCGGAGCTGTGGCTGTTACATCAACCCTCTCAGAGTTTGTTGTTTGGGGCATTGCAGTTGTTGTAAACTTGGCCGGTGTCAGTGTAATGGCAGATGATTGTTGGGTAGTAGTTGCTGGTTGACTGGTCATGGCTTTTTCTAGAATGGTTGTATTTCTGTATAGACTTGTTGTTATAACAGGCCTACTGTCTGGTGGACCTGTGGATTTGGTAGCAGCAACAGAAACTGTTTTGGCTGGAATAGTAGAAATAAACTCAGGTGGAATTGCAGGAGTTATAACAGACATAAGAGTGGTGGTGGAGGTTTTGGGAACAATAGTAGCAACAGGATGATCGTTGTTTAGATGAGGTGTTGTAGCAGGTTTACGGGCAGAGACAACAGACCCTACCACTCCTAAAAATACACTCCCTCCTATTCCACTAAATAATCCTGCTAAACCAGCCCCTAAAGCCGCTCCTAGGCCTCCAGAAAACAATCCACCCCCTGGAATAGGTAATGATGGAACTGGACCTCCTCCTCCTCTTGGACCTTCTGGTATTTCTTGCTCAGTTTCCTCTTCCTCTTCCTCATCTTTCTTCTTTGTAGTTGTAGTTTTTGTGGTTGTAGTAGTGGTTGTGGTCGTAGTGGAAGTAGTTGCAGTCCTAGTTTTGGTGGTTGTTGTAGTTTTGGTGGTTGTTGGTGGAAGAGTTGTAGTTTGGGGTTTAGTAGTTGTAGGAAAAGGTGTCGTCAGCAGGGGAGTGGTTGTTAGTAGAGTAGTAGTAGGTGGTGTATCTGTGGTTGTAGTTATAGTAGTGCCCAAAGTGGTAGCGGCAGTACTTGAGGGAGTACTGCTTGTTGTGGTTGGTGGAGGAGCAGATGTAGTTGTAAGAGGGGCAGATGTGGAACTGGGAGGGGCAGATGTGTCAGTAAGATGGGTAGATGTCGAACTAATAGGGGTAGATGTGGTAGAAAGTGGACCAGATGTGGTACTAAGAGGGGTAGATGTGGTAGAATGTGGGACAGATGTGGAACTGGGTGGAGCAGAAGTGTCAGTAAGAGGGGCAGATGTGGAACTGGGAGGAACAGATGTGGTACTAAGAGGGGTTGATGTGGTAGAAAGTGGGCGAGATGTGGTACTAAAAGGTGTAGATGGGGTAGAAAGTGGACCAGATGTGGTACTAAGAGGGGTAGATGTGGTAGAAAGTGGGCCAGATGTGGTACTAAGAGGGGTAGATGTGGTAGAAAGTGGGCCAGATGTGGTACTAAGAGGGGAAGATGTGGTAGAAACTGGGCCAGATGTGGTACTAGAGGGGTAGATGTGGTAGAAAGTGGGCCAGATGTGGAACTAAGAGGGGTAGATGTGGTAGAAAGATGGCCAGATGTGGTACTGGGAGGGGCAGATGTGGTACTAAGAGGGGCAGATGTGGTAGAAAGTGGGCCAGATGTGGTACTAAAAGGGGTAGATGTGGTAGAATGTGGGACAGATGTGGAACTGGGTTGGGCAGATGTGGTTGAAAGAGGGCCAGATGTGGTACTGAGAGGGGTAGATGTGGTAGAAAGTGGGCCAGATGTGGTACTAAGAGGGGCAGATGTGGTAGAAAGAGGGACAGATGTGGAACTGGGTTGGGCAGATGTGCCAGTAAGAGGGGTAGATGTGGAACTGAGAGGGGCAGATGTGGAACTGGGAGGGGCAGATGTGTCAGTAAAAGTGGTAGATGTGGTAACAGAAGGTAGATGTAGTAGAAAGTTGACTAGATGTGGTACTGTGAGGAGCAGATGTGTCAGTAAGAGGGGCAGATGTGTCAGTAAGAGGGGCAGATGTGGTACTAAGAGGGGTAGATGGGGTAGAAAGTGGACCAGATGTGGTACTAAGAGGGGTAGATGTGGTACTAAGAGGGGTAGATGTGGTAGAAAGTGGACCAGATGTGGTACTAAGAGGGGTAGATGTGGTAGAAAGTGGGCCAGATGTGGTACTAAGAGGGGAAGATGTGGTAGAAACTGGGCCAGATGTGGTACTAAAAGGGGTAGATGTGGTAGAAACTGGGCCAGATGTGGTACTAAGAGGGGTAGATGTGGTAGAAAGTTGGCCAGATGTGGTACTAAGAGGGGTAGATGTGGTACTAAGAGGGGTAGATGTGGTAGAAAGTTGGCCAGATGTGGTACTAAGAGGGGTAGATGTGGTAGAAAGTGGGCCAGATGTGGTACTAAGAGGGGAAGATGTGGTTGAAACTGGGCCAGATGTGGTACTAAGAGGGGTAGATGTGGTAGAAAGTGGGCCAGATGTGGTACTAAGAGGGGTAGATGTGGTAGAATGTGGGACAGATGTGGAACTGGGTTGGGCAGATGTGCCAGTAAGAGGGGTAGATGTGGAACTGAGAGGGGCAGATGTGGAACTGGGAGGGGCAGACGTGTCAGTAAAAGTGGTAGATGTGGTAGACAGAATGGTAGATGTAGTAGAAAGTTGACTAGATGTGGTACTGTGAGGAGCAGATGTGTCAGTAAGAGGGGCAGATGTGTCAGTAAGAGGGGCAGATGTGGTACTAAGAGGGGTAGATGTTGTAGAAAGTGGACCAGAGGTAGTTGTGGGAGGGACGGAAGTAGTTGAAACGGGTGGTGGGCATTTGCAAGTCTTATTAAGAGTTGGGTACAACTGAGTGACAGTTGTGTAGAGAGGACATTCTCTTCCTGGAAACATTGAACTTCCCAGTTCATTATGGAGCTCTGCCAAGGTCTTCGTCTGCAGATATTCATCACCACCTCGGATGTTTTGTTCCCAGTGCGCACTTGCTAGCCACCTCCTCGCACGTGTACTGTAGCAGCAGAATGCTGACCAGAGCATGGAAGGAATATTGATCTTGTTGTTGAGAAAGTTGTTGGTGCTGGGCTGTGCTCCAGTTACCAAAAAGCCTTCTCTATTATCATTATTGTTGATGCAGTATTCATGCAGAACACACCTGATGCAACTCTCCATGTTCGCCCAGCTTCCACTGTTGAATAGGATGTCTTGTGGAACAGCATTAGTCAGGGTAAAGGTAGATATTTTATCATTTTTGGTAGACGCATAAGAGCTTGGAAATAAATGCCCTCTGTTGAACCCTCTGCTGTTACTGTAATCTGTGTTTCCAGCTTGGTAGTAGTAGATCTTCTTTTCGTTTGCTCTCTTCATGTTCTTGTCGTTAGATTTGTTCTCAAGCTGTAACAATTGGAAATCCATGTTACTGATGCAGGCAGAGTAGTAGTAAATTACATTAAATTCACAGTAACAACTTGGTTCCACAAAGTTATACAATTTAAAATGAATTTAGCAATCATGTGCAATGTTAACCTGATACTGGGTAAACTTATGCAGTGGCCTAAGTCTGAGTTATTTTGATTGATTCTCCTTATTTCCTGTGACTGTGATTATATCAGCTTTTAGCTAAAGTATTATTATTATTTAGCTAAAGTACTTATTATAGTACATACATATTTTTTTAGCTATGTACACTTGGCTTATCATCCCAGTTTCCTTTGATTTCCTTTGATTATAATATTATTAATATAATTTCAATTAGTTGATGACAGTTAAAACATGTAGTTCTGTAGCCACTGCTATGGTTGTGGATGTACCACTGCTATGCATTAGTATGTAAAAGTCACCCCAAAACGTAATATTATTGTGAAAAAAACATAACAGAAGTCTACCTGTGGTTCTATATTCCAAGGGGCAGTGGGTCTCGGGATGTTGCTCTTCCCAATGTACTTGTAAGCAGAAAACACTGGGATCTTGTTCTCGGTGTCGTAGAGTGTCACAAAGCTTCTATTGTTGTTCAAAGTCTGGCAAATGGGTTTGTATCTGTTCTGGTTCAGGATGTTCCCTCCCTCCAAGATTCCCGGGATATGTGGTGGAGTTTCCTCAAGAAGAAACCCTGCACAGTCTGACATCGACCCCACCACTTCAGCTACTGTGGGAACGATGGATAGAAGGAGGAGAGCAGCGAGGGGCAGGAGGCACCACATCTTCAGTGACCCCATCGTCAAACACTGTATCACTGGGTCAGAGGAGAGAACAAAAAGAATCATTAAACTTCGCAGTTTAAGTTACATTTACAGTTGATTTCCGCCAGTTTGAACCACATTGAAAAGTTGACTGTAGTTGACCAGTATGCAAACTATACCATGGCTTTTGGGGGAGCTCACTTTTTCTCCTTTGGGGGGGGTTATAGTTTTGGATATCTCCTGATACGAAGTTAATAAAATTGGGCTGTCATGCTTTAGTGGTGATGACAAGAATAGTAGTATATTTTTTAAAGTGAATTAGTGATCAGTCACTTTCACACACACACATCATGGAAGTTTGTCCAGCCTCTGCAACGTTTCTGCAAATCTGACCAACCGTAGTTTCCCGCACTACAGTCTTGTTTTCAATATTCTGTCATTAATGCTGTGCTTCTGGGAATGACAACACGTACAACTATGATCTGTTTTGTCCCAAACTCGTACATCACCATACTCATTTCCTTGTTCTCTGGTAAAAAGATGCATTATTTCACTTTCTACTGCAATTTAATTGAGGGAAAAAATGCTTAAAACATCACTACATGCATCACAGTTTTCTATAAAAGCTGCCATATAATCTGACATTTTAGGCCAAAAAAAGCCCACAAAATTCTGGAGAGGTTGATATTATCAATATTTTGGGGGAGCTCAGTTCTCTCATGTCAGGACATGTATTGTAAACTGCAGATTATTTGTATAGAGGCTGCAGGTTTAAATTATTATTTTTTTAAATTACAAATACAAAGATAAAAAATTAAATGAAGCATAAATGTGTGGGAAAATCCAAGAAATGCTTACCTCCCCTCTGAAGATCAGCTAAATCAGTGTTCTTCAGTTTATGCAGCAGTGGAAACAAGACTTCCTCAAGTATTCCTCAAATATGAACTGAGCATAAGGAGGAAGTGCACTGTGCTATAAGCTGTGTTATATAGCACCGTAAACATCACTGGAGGTCCCTAAGTGTGATACACACAGTAAATTGTTAGCAAAAAGGAGGAACCTGTCGCCTAAGGAGAGGTGTGAAAAGGAGTTCTGTTTGAGAAATTCAGTATCTATGAATTTTATTTCAGTGAGGCAGTTGGTCATGGTGTACAGCAGTGGAGACTTTATAGCAATGGAAGTGGACATCATGTCAAAAGATGATATAACCATTTCAGTTTATACTTTTATTCAAAATATGGTTAAAAACACACCTTTTGCTTAATATTAGTGCAGTTACTGCCACATGATAACAATATGCTAACATGTTTTGGCTGATTTTGTGTCTGAAGACAAGAAAGTCAAGCAGCAGTTGTTAAAAAGTTGTACATTGTACTCTTAGGTGTCCCAATATGAAAAAGTGTACAATCATTATTGCTTAAGTAAATATATGAGGATGGATTACACATCTCAAATAAGTTTAAAGTTAGATTTTTCAATCATACTGAAACTAAAACCAGTTTTAAAAAAAACAAGCATGTAAAAATGCTGCTATATTCCTTTAATAGCATTGTGTTATCTCTTGTGCATTTCTGGAAAGCGGCTTTCTCAGAAACCCATTGTTCCTCTTTTACATGATGACCCACCTTACAAGGTCACAGAAAATGCAATCAATGAACAGGTTTCTAAATTGCTTAAAGTTTCTTTTCATACAAGCTTAAAACCAAAATAATGGATCTTGACTTATTTACAAATGTTTGCACCCAGCATGCCAGAAATCCTTAAAAATCTTTAATATAGTATGAAAGAAAGAAATGAGGAGGACTGAGAACAGAACTGAAATGTTACTGAAGTAGAACATCACTGATCACCTCCTCAATGGATGTGTGATGTGGTGAAATACTGTAGATTGTATAGATTAGAATAGGACTGAACATTTTAGTTTATTCCCTTCTGCTTTGTCCCCTTTTTAACTGTATTTGTTGTTGATCACTATTTCATGTTATAGCTTTTACTGCTGCAGTTATGTGTCTGTCTTTATACACTGTACTGTATAAAGTAAAGATGACTTATTCACTTTTATGTAGTATATTAAAAATGCAGAAAATGTGCTAGTGTTTTTAATAGTATGATATCAAATGTATATATTAAAAGATATAAATTAGTAAGAAAATGCAACAATAAAAGTGAGTGGGACGAAGTTGGATTGGATTTTGAAATGTGACCTCAAGTGCTAGTTATTCACACTTAAAGAGAAGAATATTTCTCAGAAAAGTTACCAAGTGAAAGATTATACTGAGGCTGCATCGGGTCACTGGATCAATAAACTGTGGTATCTCTATTTAAGAGAAATGAAACTATGCTTCTAAGTCAGATCCAGCTTGAATTCCGAGAACTGTTATTAAGACAGACAAACAGACACGCAGACAAGGCAAGCGTTTTGCATTTACTGTCAAGATTCAACTTTGTCTTAGCAACTATGTAATACTTGTGCTTTTCCCATTACATTATAAAGGGAAATGCAATAGCTGTTTGACAATCAAACACTTGTAGAACACACAAGTCATAGGCAGGAGATTAGGATGGACCTACAGGTCTGCATCCTGCAGGAGTATTAGCAACAAAAGCACTTTGGTTAGGTTTAAGGAAAGATTGTGGTTTAAGCTAAATGTTAATAAACTAAACATGCTCCTGCTTCAAGTCACAGTTTTCCTGACATCAAAAGAAAGGTCTGCTGCAACAACAACTTATTAAAAATTCACTCGTCAGACTTCTAACCAGACCAAAAATATATGACGACATTGCACCTTTCTAAAATCTCTGCATCGGTTGGTCAGAATATAAACATCATATTCAAAGTCACAGCATGTACAGTAGCTGTTCTTTTTCTTCTTCATCCCCGCAGGAAACAAGACTCTTCACTCTGAAGGATGTCAAATGTTTTTGAGTATTTTTATTTCACAACCAACTTCAGTTCATATGTTGTGTCATATGTTACAAGCTGCAGGCTCCTACTTTCAGCCCATTTTCTGTATACCGCCACACACAGTACAAACACGACAGTGCAGAGGACGAAGAGCAGGATGATACACAGCAGCTGCGGCAGAGAGAAGAGAGGAGGGAGCTCAGGTCTGACTGCGAGGAAGAAAAACAAAACATTCGATTGGTTAACTAGCAGATCATGAAGAGAGTTAAGCTCATAAGCCCTGTGATTTCTAAATGGAACACTTCCTAAGTTTTTTGAGGTCCGATTCAAATAAACAGCATCCTCTTCTGGAAGAGAACAGATATATAAACAGATATTATAAAGGTCAGAAGGGAACCACTGATCAAAGTATCTGTTATGCAAGACAGTTCATTGGTGTAGTTAAATGTGATTGATTGTGTTATTTCGCCCCCTGGTGCCAAAGCTCATTATTATCTCATTTATTTCCTGAATATACTGCCAGATATCAGTTATCAGCTCTCCTGTCTCAATGGGCACAAGCTCTGATTTGTGTGCCACATTTTTGGAACAAATTTTGTAAAAATTTAAACCCTGTAATGTAGGATGGTTAGCTCAGATGGTTGGAGTGTGGTGCTAAGGTCATGTCCAATCCTCATATTGGCTAATGATTGTAATTTAACAAATCAAATGCAAAGCAAGTGCTTTAAAATATATGTTGTTCCCCCTCCAGCAGCGCCTATTTGGGAGGTGGTCCTGTGGCCTGACTGAACATCCAAAACAGACTCAAAATTTTGATATAAAGTTCATGAGAAGTTCATATTCTTTGTGTTCATGTAGCCTAATGGACAAGCTCTCTGTCTTAAGATCAGAAGTTTGAGGGTTCATGTCCTTTTGTGGTTGAAAGATCTAGACGGTTTAAGGAAGCATTGCTGCTAATTTCAGCACAACTACACTTTAACTTTGAAAAGTAAGTTTTAGAATTGATACAAAGCCATTCTGCTTTACAAAATGTGTGACGTTAATGCCAGCCTACACGTATACACTAGATGCACAACATCATTGTTACCTCTAACAGCCAGCCAGCTCTGTCGTGACTCTCCTTTCGTGGGGTGTTCACACTTGTAGAAACCTTCGTCAGACCCGGACACCGCAGAGATGGTCATGCTTCCTGCAGGTTGAGCCCCGATGAAAACCCCGTCTTTGTAGAACTTTGCAGAGAAATCAGAAGTGGCGCTTATGTTCTCTTTTTCTTTATAGGAACAGAGAAGTGTTACTTTATCGCCTTCTGTCACAGGTAGTGCAGGGCTCTGCAGGATCACAACACCATCTGAAAAACAAACCATGCTGTCGTTGTTCTCTTTTATGAAAATGAATAACACCTAAAAGTATCAAATTAACTTTTTCTGTTCCCTGTCAAACACGTGCAGCATTAATGTCAGCATCAAATATAAATACACATTGCACATTTAGTGTTACCAGTCACAGTGATGTTAATGGTGTTGCTGCACTCCCCCCGCTCAGACTCGCACCAGTACACTCCAGTGTCTGATGGATAGGCATCGTCAATGACACAGAAGGACTCATTTGGTCTTCCCCAGCCAGAGCTGCACGGATCAGAAGTCCAAAAGGATGTGTTCCTCCTGAATATCCAGCCACTAGAGGTTCCCGGCACTTCACAGGTCAGTGTGATGGTGTCATACCAAAAGAACTGAGACCTGTTGGGATGGATGTTCAGTGTGGCTGAAACAGAAGAAAGATCAGATTGGGCATGTTGTGCAGATCGTAAAGCTGTGAATGTTTAATTTAGTGAATGGTAAAGTAATGGAGTATTTCGCTAGGTAATGGGGTGAAAGGCAGAGTAATGATGTAAATGACAAGGTAACTGAGTAAAAGGCTGAGTAATGGCTAAGAAGTTGAGTGAGTTGGTGGATTAGGCGGTTTTATGGGTGAGTAAATGGCTACGTAATGACTAATGTAATCTTAGTGTCTGTGTGGGGGCAAGCAATTTAGTTAAAAGCAAGCACATAAAGGTCATATTATTAGGTGTGACAAAAACCTTCACATTTGAGGGTTCAGTTACTAGCTTTGATCAGTAAACTGGTTTGGGTTTCATCACATGAACCAATTTTGCATTTTAGTCACATGATAAGAAGTGAGCTGAAGGTTCAAATGTATGTTGTCACACAGGTTCCCAAAAGCCATGAAAAACTCAAATGCTAAAATACATAAAGCAAAATCTGATTTACCAGCCATCCTGTCAGTCTGTAACTAAAGTTACAAAATAACTGAAACTTCACAACAGGGACATCAAGATTAATATAGCAATATAATATAGTTTTATGATGAGATTATAGATTTTATAGTGCAAAATCTAGCAAATATTAAAAGAAACACTACATTATTGCTGTTGAATTCATCTTTTAGCAAAACATACAAATAATTTCTACTAATGCAGCTAAAGTACCCACAATTTCTCTATTCGACACATCACAGCTGCACTTAGTCGTGACTGACTTACACTCAAATGAGACCAAACATTATATTAGCAATTTAAATGAATTAACTGATTATATACAGTCCAGACTTCACTTTTTACTATAACAGCATGATTCAATTCTTCTTCCTAACTGTAAATTGTTGGTATGTTTCAGTAAAACTGAAATAAGAGAACTGTTTTAGCAAATCAGGATGTACTGTAGCTTATGCAGAGCTGTAAAAGGAGAAGATCAGAACACAAAATCCGTACATTACAACAACAGAAAACTGGAGGGAACTAACTGCAAACTATGATTTTTAGAAACAATCAAATAAGCCAAACTTTGTTGAACTGCCACAGCCAAAATCTGCCATAAATGTTTTAGTGGACGGAGTTGATTACTTCCCATTCTTTAAATCACAACACAACTGCATTAACATTTGAAAGAAAAGATTTTAAAAGGCTTCAAACAGGAATAATAGAGAGCATAAGGCAATACTGTTTATAAAAGTTAAATTTCTCACACAGGATTAGGCAGAGTGAGGGGATCTCCATTCTGTCTCGATGTGTTTTGTCTTCTACTCCTCCTCAGGTAGCAGCAGTGAGCCCACATCCTGACATCAGAAAGTCATCAAAAAACTGCTAAACACAGCAGAAGTGAAGAGTTAGACCTGTGTGGTGTGGAACAAAATCACTTCCTCCATTGTGCTTGTGTTACTTTGCTGTGTCCTGTAAATCAGTTAAATGTAATTAAAAGTTCAATTTAACCTGCTGAAGACCTTATTTACCGGAGGTTTAAGGTTGTATATTTTAGTATAAGAGCAAATATAGCAGCCAGTAATTTATAAAGAGAAAAATTATTACATTTCAATTGATTTTTAATGCTAGAAAGAGGGTTGCGTCTCATGTCTGCAGACATGCAGTAAGTTTGTCAGTAATGTAGTAATGTAAAAATGATAGATACACTTTAGATATATTGTATTAATTGAATTAATATTTTAATTCAATTTTGCATTATTATTAGTATCTTCATTTACTTCATTTATTTTAGTCAGGGTGAAATGTACTATGATATAATTTACCTTTATGTTAGACTGAAAAAAACAGTGAACTATGGACTGTAAATATCCTAAGTTTTTCTAAATTCTTTTCAAACCAATTTACCATAGCTTAGCTCACCATTTACCATTGAGCCAGGCCTGTGCATAATCGATCATCAACAATCGGAGCACAATGCATTCCTGTGAATTGATGCTGGCTTGCTCTGATGTTACGCACATATGGGCAACGACAGCCTCATAAGATCGAGGCGGCCGCAGTTTTTAGAGCCAGGTGGCACAGTTGTTCTCTACCGACTGCAAACGCCATGGCACGCTGGGCAACGTCTGCCCGTTGCCTGATCAAAGAGCTGATTGGCTCTGAGTTCTGACAAAAAACACCACATTTTAGTAATTTATATATCTGAACATGGTCCGCCAACTACAGGTAGCTCATGGTTATCTAACAGGATGTAAATATTTTGTGACTTCCTGTATATTCTTTGAAGGCTGCTGGAAACTGTTCGACTCACATGCAGCTTTTTGTCACTGCCTCCTGCTGCTGCCGCCTGATGGTACATTTTTGTGACTTAAGCTAATTGCTCAGAACCTTTGTGAAATAATTAGCCCAGGCTGCACACATGCCAGCACTTACAGTAACAAAGTATAGAAAAATTATTTTGGAACTTATTATTTCATTGTATCAGTATTCAGATAAGTAAACACAGCAATGAAAATATAGCTTATTGTCTCTACACCCACAGAAATTCACACCTGTCATCAGCCTCATGTTCACAAGTCGACAGGAAAAAACAGACAAAGACAGGAAGTGTAGTAAAACAAGACATAAGAGGAGGAAAATTACAAAAGAAAGCAGGAAATAACTAAAGAAAACCCCAAAACTTGGCAATTGAAGGAAAATGACATTCAAAAGAGGGATCCTAATTACACTAATGACATTCTCCTACACATACATGTAGCCAGATCAGGTAAAAAAATAAAAATGCTTCTTAAACCAGGAAATACATATCTGTGTAAGGATTGAGGAGTGACCCTGAGTGCATGTGAAAGTCTAGTCTCCCAGTTATTTACCTTAAGGGACCCCTTTAAAATGATAAAAAAAATTAAAAAAAACATAATACAGACAATTACATAAAAAGGAGTTCACTGTTTGGGTTCATTGTACAGTTTTGAATATAATAAGAAATATCCATAAAATATGTCACTTTAGTAGGTGTTGTCAGTTTACTAAATGATTGAAATAATAAATGAATATATGACAAAAGAAAAGTTTTGAATATAATGTGGTGTAAGAATGAAATTAATGAAATGAAAGAAAATGGCAGATCATATGCATTTGTAGTTTTAATGTAGAATTTACTTCTAAAACAATGAATGCTGATGGATCAACTTAATAAAAGGAACAACTATAAACAACCCCACCCATCAAATCATAAGTGCTTTAACATACATGTGATCTGTTTGAAATCAACGTTATGCACTTAACAGGCAGAATAAGTATAGAAATTCACAGTAACATAATTTGAAAAAAGAAAAAAACCCGAATCCATTTAAGTGTATAGAGACTGGTGAAAACGTGATATCATTTATATATACCTTTGCTATCAACCCCTGACCACTCAAGTTTTAATGGCTTATGGGTACCAAACATTTTCTAAACATCTGTAATGCCAACTTTTTAGGATAAAAACCAACCAAACTCCCGTCCAACTTACAGCTGTAAGTGGTTCACGTCAGATTTTAGTTCCACCTGATCACATTTCTGCTCTGTTCTCATTACAGCAAGGGCTCAGAATCTTCAGTTAGATTCTCCAGAGCACTGAAGCGGTTAGACGTGGCTGCAATGGTGTACCTACGTTGGAGCCTGGCACTGTTCGTACGAGGCTGAGACAGGCTCAGCGAACGGCCAACGTGGTTTTGATCAGAAGTTGTGGCTAAACAAGAAGTGGGCGACACGGCAGGATTATCTGTCAAAAGAGTAGCCTCAGGGGGGCCCGGTGCTGGACTTTGTACTGAGACTCCAGGTTTTGAATCTTTGTTGCTGATTGAGACAGCTGGGTTTTGGTTGTTCTCTTGGGGAAACACGTGTGAATGTTGGTTAATGGGTTTTGAAATGTCTGGTGAGGATCTGGAAGGACTGTTATCAATCGTAGGCTGGCACACACCAGGACTCTGCTTAGATCGGAGGTCACTGAGTTCTTCAGTTAGTTGGCGGATGATCTCATCTTTGTCATGAGGGACGGACGGTGGCAATTTTCGTCCGCACACTGTGTGAATACAAAATATATGTTCTGTTAGCACCTGCTTCACCTGACATTTCAACTTTACTATAAAAAGAACCGAAACATTAACCTATCACTCCTAATGTTTGCTGTTAAACTTGATACTTCCTGTGTCCTTATTATTCCTGTAAAAATCATACAACAACTACAGACTGGGGACAAAGAGTTCAAAGGGAAGGTGTTTGATGTATATTGCGTCAATATAATGCAAAAAGATGCAATCATAACAAATATTCTACACGTATCTGTTTCTTTAGGATATTTGGCTGAAGAAGGTGATGGTAAATTTTGAGACCTAACAGCTGCTTAACATGAACAAGTGCCACTGACTTACCGGAGTTGCCACATTTCTTCCATAAGAAGGCAGTCAATGCACATACAACTACAGTTACTACAACAGCGATGCTGGTGGTTAGAGTGCAGGACGTCATGCAGTCAGCTGAAATGATAATGAAGATTATGTGGAAATGATTCATTATATGATATTTCAGAAACATTATATCATCTACAGAGAGAGCATCTGAATAACTTGTTGTCAGATTATTAGGAGCTGCTTTCTGCCCCACACTGTATGCTCTTTTAGTGCCACAACTTTAGACAAAACTCAGAACTGAACACAAACAACTGCTGTCACACTGAATGTATAAGTCACTGAAGTCTCCTCCATAAAGAGACTCAGGTATGTACAGCTATACTTTTGATGTAATTATCTTAGCGAGAATATCCTCAGTATGTTATTAACCCACAAATGAGTGAAATAAGATCTGAACCTTTCAGTTTTATAACATAAATAATAATGACCAAAATATGCAAACACACTTTCTTTTCATTTTCAGTAATTTTACATTTTAAAAAGTAAAGAAGATTTGGAAAATTAATTAGCAATGAATGAACTGTGTTTTCTTTTTCTATCTTACAAAACTTATGGAAACACTACAGATATGGCAAAAATGGAAAAAATAACAACTGCCATTTATGACAGAAAAAAACCCAAAATTTGATAAAACAAGTAACTGTTTTTAATCTGCATATAGAATATAGCGTATTGAATATTACAATAATGTATGTGGCTGACAGAATGGCAGGCGTTTAAAGCATGAATGTAAATTGTTACAGGTGGATGGAGCTCAGGCGTACCTGGTATGTAAATCTCTGTTTCCCTCGTTTGGTTTATCCGAGGCTGATGAACTCTGCAGATGATCCTGTGACGAAAAGACATCAGTTTAAGTTTCAGTTTAGTTTGTTTTTAATTGTGTGATGGGTTTTCTGGAAAATACTGTATTAGTGTTGGTGAGTCACTCTTTTTCTTTTTTAATTCTTTTTCACCAGCTTGACACAGAATTCAAACAGACAACTGTGAGTGTGTTAACATGCCGATGTTAGCATTTAGCTTAAAGCACAGTGGTGCCAAAGTACAGCCTCAGAGAGCCAGTTGCATGGCTGTAGTCACTTTAAATAAACAATTCTCCAACTCCCCTTGGATGAGGTGAATCAAGCAAACCTCAGAATAAAATATGGAAACTAAATTTCTTTAGTATTAAACTGTAATTGTACCTGTTGGTGTCAGCCTGCACAGTCAGTCTCCTTGTGACGGTGAAACATCCCCTGGAATCCAGATTGGTCTTTGGGTCTTCAGCTCCGATGCTGTTTCCCTGATGGTCTAGAAATGTTACCTCAGGCTTCGGGAACCAGCAGTTTGCTTCACACTGCAGAGTCACTCCTCCTCCTCCTCCTCCTCCTCCTCCTCCTCCTCCTCCTCTGGAAGCTGGAACAACTGAGAGTCTGGGCTCAGAACCTGCTCCTACAAAACCAAGAATTATACAATACAACTTTATTATTATTATTATCAATGTGGACAATATTATCTGGGCTTTGTGAGAGAGGAAATATTTTCAAAGTTCTATATTTGACAAAAAGAACAGAGTCTTTCATACACATCATGTGGGTGAACCAGGCCTCAGGAGACATTAAAGGAATAGTACATTTTGGGAATGTTTTGAGAGTTGGATGAGAAAATTGATACCACTCTCACATCTCTGTGGTAAATATGTAGCTACATCCAGCCGCCAGTGATGCTTGACAGATTTCACTACCTTTACACTGAACGCTGCAAGTTGTTTCCCATTGCTTCTTCATGCTAAGGTACGCTAACGGGCTCTTGGCTGTAGTTTCATATTTAACAAAGCCACACCTGACCACGATTGTGAGAGCAAAATCTGTAATAAACTATTAGACCTGTGCAGCACTTCAAGATAGTAACGTGTAAAGGCAACAGGCAACTTTTAGGAGACTTTAAAAATAGACTACTACAATTTGATTGGACGTACCAACAAAGAGCTCCACCCTAACGACCTTCTGGGCTTTCTTCAGGATGGTCTTGCAGATGTATGTTCCTGTATCAGAGAGCCGCAGGCTGGAAATCCTCAGCGAGATGTTTCCCCTCATCAGTTCATTCATGAAGAGGTTTGTTCTGTACCTGAAGACCGGATTCTTCATCTCGTGGGTCTCACAGCCATCGCGGTACAGGAAGGCGATGCCTCGATCCAGACCTTCCTTGGACCACTCCACTGTAGGGAAGTCGCCGCTGACGTCTATGAGGCAGGGCAGGATGACCGATTCTCCATCAAAGGCCAGGATCTTCCCCGATACACCGTCCTCTGAGGCTGAAAACACAAAACATGGTGGAACATTTATATTTTTCTTATTGTCAACAAATCCTATAAAAAAATCAACAATAAATTGCTCTTCTGATGTGCATGTGTGCCTAACCAAAACCTGGTCTTATTCCACTGTGTCATACATTATTTCCAGGATATTTGGTCATTTTGATAAATTTCCAGGTGTTTCCATGATTGCAAAACTAGTCTCTAAATTTACAGCTTTTCCAGGACGTGTGGGAACACAAAACACAAAGTTAGCAGCTAGTCAGTGAAGAAGTGTTTACAGTTTGTCTCATCCACCCATAAGTGGCCCAAAAAAACGTGTTAAAACAGGTTTTATCTCTCCTTTGGCAGTAAAGCATTGTAACAAAATATAATCTATTGACGTAGTTTCATGACGTATCACTTCATGTTGGCGAGTTTCTCTTCCAGCTGAAAATCAGGAACCTGTTTGAACTGATCACAACTCAAAGATGTTGTGCAAACTGCGCAGAAGATTTTGCTTCTCTTTTTCTTGCATCATGACGGCAATGTAAATCTGCTGTGTCATTAGTAGTCCACCATGTTGGGCCAGACTCAGATAACTCTCTTACTGCCATTTTGTGTACACATACCACTGAATAAGGCATTACCAGTAATAATATTACAGTAATAAAGTACAGTAAAAGAAATGTTCCCAGTAACTAGTAATCTAACTAAATACTTTACAGTAATAATATTACAGTAATAAAGTACAGTAAAAGAAATGTTCCCAGTAACTAGTAATCTAACTAAATACTTTACCTTAATAATATTAGTCATAAGTCTGAAGTTTGTGGAGAAGGAGCACAATTACCAATTTTTTGGGTAGTCGAAGAGAAATAATGTAGTAAAACAGTGTAACTAATTACTACTGGCAGGGAGTAATAAGTAAAGTATTAATATTACTTTTGAAAAGATTAATAAATTAGTTTTTTAACTATCCCAACACTGGTTATTACTGTGTGCTATAAGAGGAACCATTTTGTAGAAAATAAACTGAGCACCATAACAACATTTTTCTAACTTCTCTAAAATTTCCACTAAAAGGAAAAATACTTTTATGTTTCAACCGTTTAAAATAAAACATCCACAGGCAAGATACCACACTTAAACGGTCTCGGTATCATCGCATAATAACTCTCACATACCTGCGCAAGACAGCAGTGTGGCAACCAGGAGGAAGAAGAACTGGACGTCCATGGCACAAACAAACAAAACTAAAAACAGAAGAAAGGAAACGAAAAACGGGATCTCTCAGCGGTTGAAACAAAGAAAAAGAATAAAAAATGATTGTATGAAACTTTGAAGGCTTTTTTTTCAGCTGTAGATCCTGATAGAGCAGCGCAGAGCGCAGCCTCCTCTGCAGGAGCGCAGTGTTGGTTCAACAGCTTCACTCTCACAGCCCTCGTCCCCCCACACTCGCACCCCGCCTCCTACCTACTCATTCAATTGAATGAATGAATTTTATTAATCTCTTTTTTTATTATTATTATTATTATTATTATTATTATTATTATTATTATTATTATTAACAAAGCCTTGTAGATTTTATTTTTGGTAATTGAGAGACGATAAATGTTTTGTTGGATAAAAAAAAATAATGCAATTTATGTTCCCTTTGTAGAGAACTTGTAAGTATTTGGAGAAATTTTTTTTCCACATTTTTGAATTTTTCTGTCTTTTAACGTGTTTCATGTGTTATTTTAAAGGGACAAGATTGTGGGTAAAATGGAGTTAACCGTGACCAATTAACCTTCCTAATTTCATTTTCATAGATTTATCTTCAGAAATCCTATCCAATAAAAACCACTGACCAATCTTACTGGTCCTGACAAAAGTCCTCCTGAGTCAATAATGTGACAATTAATATGAACCGGTGGATACACTGATATGCTTGTCATCCATCCTGTAACCGGGGGCGTGTCCCCAGTGGCTGTAACCACAACACCGGATTGCACAATGCTTCCACACAAAGAGACTGAAAGCTCTACCTTCCCTTTTTGTGTTTATTTTTTCTTCACAAAAAGTGAAAGTGTCCTGTTCATCTCTTTGCCCCAAACGATCAGTGAGGCACAAAGTGATCATCATCATCTTCTTCTTCTTCTTCTTCTTCTTCTTCTTCTCCTCCTCACTGGACTCAAAAGGTAAATTAATTTTTCTTTGATTGATTTTTGCCATCGATGGTTGATGTTTTAATCCCTTTTGCTTTCACTTTCAAACTCAGTACTTTGAAGAGAGTTGAACCTTCTCAGATTTAACTCTGGTGATCAAAGAAAGCAAAAAAACATAACCTTACTAATAATATGATATATGGTGATTAAGATGTCAGTTATTTAATTTGGTGTTGAATATGAGGAGTTAATGACTTATCAGGGATTTAAGCAAGAAAGATCTGTGAGCCTGAAAAATGATCCGGGCGGAAATGTGTATAATGTATTGAATTAAGTATTATATACATTTAAAACTCTACGCATGAAATCAGGGATGGTGCCTGAGAACTTAAAGTCATGGTTATTATATCCTCCCTAAAATGCCTGGCTGAAGGGCTATTAAACTTAATGCAGTGTATTGCCACTAGATGGGGCCAAAGGGAGTCTCATCAGTACATTACTGAACATAATAATGAATCCTTTGTAAAGAATACTGAACTGAATTTAAACTGCAGCACACTTCACCCACAAAAAAAGTTGTTAAGATTAGGATTGTCAAAACAGACACAATTAAAACTACTTGAATATTGCATTGGGTATATACTTTTATTTATAGTCTTATAGTCTATTTTCTATTATTTTTTAATTTAATCTTGAATTTCTCCTGAAGGGGGATCAATGAAGGAACATCTTATCTTATCTTATCTTAAAAAATATATATTATTTTGTTAATGAAGTGTGTGTTTAGAAATATAGACTAAAAGCCTTTACAGGAAATTGTGGAAACAAAGCCCTGTTATGAACTGGAATCAAATCTGACATACTAATATCCAGATTGATACTAGAGTGCTGTCACAGTCGTCCTTCATGCAAAGTCTGTTTTTCCCCCAGGAGAAACTGAAGAGATGAGCTCACACCAGTCAGTTAAAGTAGTCGGACAGGACGTCATCCTGCCACAGAAGACCCTCACTCAATGTGTGAACTCTGGAGACTCTTTACAACCCTGTGCGCAGACGGGATGATCCCAATATTCAGGATATTACAGGAAGTCTCTTTCAGGATTAAATGAGCAATGGAAACCTTTCACCGAAAAAGGATATTACACATTTTGTTTCTGAACTGGAGAGCCGGATCATGAAAGGATGTGGCCCCCCGTTGTTGGTGAGTACAGTTTACTTAATAGTTAATAAAGAAACACTCCAGTGATTCACTTTCATAAAGTTGGAGAGACAGATTTGAACAACAATGATCCAAACTGATGCAGCAGAGGCTGATATTCAGACTTTTGGGTCCTTGTATGGGTTCAAGTTGGACAAACACTGGCTCCTACATTTCCCATAATGCAAATCAATAACAACTTCCCTCAGACTGACCTGCCAAATGCCAACTTCTTTCAAACCCTCCAGTTTGTAGGCCTCTCTAAGACCAAAATACGATTTATTTTCATACTTTAGAAAGCTCCTACCAGAACATATGAAACTGTTCTCAGAATCTGAACTTTATGGAGTTTATGTGGAGTGTCTCTGTGAGATAATATATGATATATATGGGTTGTGTCACTTTGATGTGTATTCACATTAGTGAAAAGGCTTGGAAAAAATACACCTGAGTTGGTGTCTGTGTCTTTAAAAAATCTAAATAATTCACAATAATATACCATTTCAGTAATAAATCAGTTATAATGAATGTCCCATATGACTTCTGTATTATATGTTCCTGCTCACAACCATTCAAAGACAAACTCACTCTGTGCCTGCTCTCATCCTCTACACTGTGACAAAACCTCCACTAGGTGGAACTATTTATTAGGTTTTAATATGCTGTATGAGGGAGTACTGCCATCAAACCACTGACAGTATATCAAACTCAGAAACAATAATAACAATAATTTTCTGAAAGCTACCATTGACATTATTTGTACACCTACATTTAGCCTAATAAAAATAAAGCATGAATTCAACATTACACACAATCCCTCTCATTAAATCTCACTGAAAGTATCCTGCTGTAAGAGTGTTACGACCTCAGTTGTGGGGTCCAGGGGAAGAGAGGTGCAACTAATTAACCGGGTGCTTAAAGAAGGAAAGGAAACAGAAAGATTTTTTACTATTAAACTATTTATTTAAATTTAAATGAGTTCAATGTTAACACAAAACAACTTCCTAAAAAGAAAGATGTGACATCACACCTGCTGACATCACTGATGTCGGTATGTTTGTTTTCAGAGTTTACGGATGGTTGAAAGCTATTGCAAACTGTAACTATACTGATTTTATATATATATGAGAGAGAGAGTGACTTAACTTGTGTTCACTAAGTTGCTTTTGACCTTGGTCGACGCACACAGTGGGTAACTTTCCACTCAGCTCAGAAGGACTGACTGAGATGCAGCAACTGCAACTCTTAAAGGATTAATACAAATAAGAAATAGCAACTTCTTGAAGTATGCTGGGCCGTATTAAAGGTCATTTACACATAGTAATCTGACTTATATGTACACCTTTGTAGATGTGGTTAATGAGACACACATAATGTGTGTATACAGCGTTACAATAAAACTCTCTCTCTCTATTCCAGGTGACACACTGGAATTATTCAGTAGCAATAATACTACCTACTTGAAGTGAAGTGATTTCATGGAGACCTAAACTTTCCATAGCATCTCTTCTATGAGAAGAGTTGCGCTGGGGACTGGCTGTATGAAACCAGAAACGTGGTTTAAACAACAAGCCCCGAGCTGTTTTCTACAGTGAAAGTAAACAGCAGCCTCACCATTGCGCCATCTTAAATGTGAGGCACTCTGCCACTATCTTCCTTATTTACACCCTGAGGACAATATGAGGCCCTGATGCAACTGTACATTTCCATAAAAGGTATGTGTGCAGCTCATCATGAAGATCAGTCAGGTTCAGGGAAATATCACTGCAGACAGCCTAATGTTTTACAGCAAGTGGTCACATGTGAGGAGCCAGTTACTATAAGTGATAACAAACAAGGACATTTGACTCTGGAACAGAAAGACACCTTGTTGTTTTAATAGAGAAACCTAACTACTAGACGACATTTTAAAAGCAACATGAAACGGGTGTGTTTGTGTTAAATTCAGGAACAGGTCTTTAACGCATGTGATCCCTTTGAGCAGGGGCGTTTCTAGACCCCCTGGGGGCCCAAGGCAAGAAGGACCATGGGGCCCCCCAGAATCAGGACTACGAATCAGTAAAGAAATCTTTTATTAAACAATTAACATATAAAATAAATAATAAATAACATAACTATCTGAATGCAAACTTTACATACAATATATAAATAACCGAAAAACAAACAAAATTTTCAGAATGATAAAAATGCAACCAAGCAAAAAAACAAACAAACTTAAAACTTGCTGTGACACCGTGGTCCTATATCCACAGTCCAATAGTAGTGCCTTTTTTTTCTTAAAACTGCTGCTTGCCTTGGCTTCTGCAAATGCAGCCATTATGTCTTCCATATCTAAAGACCTCCGAACATCTCTTTCTATTGAAATCAGTGCCAGTCCTGTGAGCCTCTCCTGTAGAGGTCTGCTGTTGCTGTTGCTGTTGATGCTGCTGCTGTTGTTGTTGTTGTTGTTGTTGTTGTTGTTGTTGTTGTTGTGGGCCAAAAAACTTCAACAAAGCACCTTGAGGAAGAAAAAAGAAAAGAGCACAATGTATTTGGTTGGCTTGTGTAAAGTAAAGTAAAGTAAAGAACTGGGCATGCTACACAAACACAACATTTGAGATCTGTATGGAATAATTAATGAACATCCATTTGCAGTAACAACTTTAATGCTTCATGTTAACATTTTATTTAATGTAACATTTAGGCTATAGCAGAAAATGTATGGATATATAGGATAGGATATACTTTATTTATCGCTGAAGGGAAATTCAGTCGTCCAGCAGCTCACATTTAAAAAAAATAATTCCAAATAAAAATTAGCACCAGTTTAGACTTTAAACTGACAGCAGAACTGATGCTGGTATCAGTTTTAACATTTGACAACAAATGCTTTATTCTGGGAGAATATATATCATTGGCATTGGCAGCAAAGGACTAACTTATTGTGTGGCTAAGAATGTGTTTAGAAGAAAGTGGCTGAATTCACTTTACACAGTGACAACCCGGAAAGGGCCCTGTGCGGGGCATTTCCGATACGTTGTCGTTGCAGCGTCTAAAGCAGGTCCATTATTTTGTCATTGACATCAGCCGTCCCTCGGGGGCCCCCTTCAGCTCGTTGCGGCGTCACTGCCAAGGGGAATGTTCTCACATTCACAGTCCACACTCGGATTTGTCCGCTTTGGTCTGCGTCATCAACTCTATAAGCAGCAATAGCCGGTCGTTGCTCGCCTCTCACTCTCAGCCTGCATACCGGTAAAGACGCTCCGCACTGACACCGATGGCACCGGCTCTACTCTTTCTCTGCTTTATACTCGCTGCTGTGAGTGTAAAGAGTTGTATGGTGGATAAATGCGTGACGGCGCCCGTGGGAGACTCTGTTGAGTTTTCGGCCAGTGATAACTGCACAGATGGTAAAGAGTTCAAACTGATGACAGAAGATATCACTGTGACTGTGGCAGCGCGCGTTAACGGTGTTTGGACCCCAGGAGAGGATTACAAAGACCGGATTGAACATCTTTCTTCATCTTCTCTCAAGTTAACCGGAGTCACCCTCAGAGACAACAAGCTGAAAGGAATGTACGAGTTCATGTGCGACAATAACCCTGTCACATACATCCACCTGAGTGTTTCTACAGCCTTTAACCTGTCTGAGACCGAGGGAGAGACGGGAGGGATAAAGCTGAATCCGACCTCCCTCAGACCTCCACCTGTTAATGTGAGTATTCCTCCCTTCTTACAGAGATCACATTATAGACCTGTATCTGTCAGCAGGTCTGAATTTAACTTCCTTTTATTGTCTGTCAGTCCACACAGGGACCCGTTGAAGATGAAGGGAGGAGAACTGGGATCATTGTTGGTGTGGTGCTTTCACTCGCAGCAGCAGTCGCAGTCATCCTCGTTGTTTGGTACCTGAAACCCTGCAGATCAAAAGTTCCACCTGGATCCGGTGATGAAAGACAGACAGATGTGGAGATGACACTTCTACCTGGGGGTGGTCTCCTGGTTCTCAGGTTAATGGGGGACCTTCAGTGCCAAACTCCAATGGTTGTTGATGTATAACCATGTATATATGTATATATGTATATAGGCTATGTGTAGATATGTATAGCGCCTTTCTATTCTTCCCACCAATCAACGCGCTGTACACACACATTGTAGCTCTAACTCTTTTTTTCTTATTGTTTTTTTTATGGCCTTTTATATTGCCTTGACAGCTGAAGACAGACAGGAAATGGGGACAGTGAGGTGAGCTAAGGGACACCCCCTCTCAGCACAGTGTTGTTCTAACTACTGTATCTGTCTGCTTCTCTGACAATAAAATGTAGAATTGTAAAACTGTGATCCTCTTTTGTTCATGTTTTCGTCTGTGTGTGTGTGTGTGTGTGTGTATTCTATAAACTAGAAGATATAATATACATAGTAAAATCTGAGTTATATGTATACACCTTTGTGGTTATGTGGTTAATGAACATTGCACATATCGATAATAAAAACTACAGAGTGCACTTAAAGTGTGTAACGTTAAGATAAATATAGATATAAAAGTTGGTTACAAGAGTTAGTTGGTTGTTTCACAATAGAGTTTTCAAAGCTTTTTGGATGAAGTAGTAAAGTATGCTGTAAAATCTCAAACTATTTTATTTCACATATAATCAACATGTACAGGTAACCTGTTACCGACATATTAATTCAAGTTTAAAATGCTTTTAAATACATATTTAATATTAAATATATAATCCCCCTTGTGACTTTATGTTATGAGAACAGAATAATAATACCCCAGTTTATTTGAGTGTATTAATGGTCTAAACAAATACAATTAATTACATTTACATTTCAATCTAAATCAAATGAGAGTACAGCAGTTACCGTGTTGTCACACTGCTCGTTAAAGTGACCTGTTATAGATAATATTGAGTTATAAATCTTTAATTCAACCTGACTAATCAGATGTATCTCTCTCTCTTTCTGCCTCAGTCTCAGCACAGACACACAGTTGTTTCAATTGTTTTGATGAGTCATTGAATGCAAATAACGTTGTGTCTTTCCAACATACTGCTATGGGACAGTAGAAGCTGCGTGTGTGTTTACTTTTAACTTTTTTTCTTTCCAACATTTCCAACTTTTCCTGGCCTGTCCCCGGCAAAGGCCGTGCGCCACAACACAACTCAGCCTCGTTAATGATCAGGAGGATACATTTATTGTATTTGGAACCGAAAGAACCACATAAACTCCTTATTTTCTGTCATGTGTTCCGCCTACGCATGAAAACAGTGCGCTTCCAGGACCTGTACATTACAGAGAGATAAGATATCGAATAAAGATAGGATCTAAACGATCTTTTAAACGTCAATTAAGACATTAGAAAATATGTACAGTGCAGATGTGTTTTCATTGACGCTCCTGAGACTGGTGTTTACAATGTAAGTAAGTTGTTTCTTAAAGTATTTTTTGGGGCTTTTATTGCCTTTATGATAGATACAGCTGAAGATAGACAGGAAAGGGGGGCAGAGAGAGGGGATGACACGCAGCAAAGGGCTGCAGGTCGGACTCGAGCCCTGGGCCACTGCAGCAAGGACTCAGCCTCAGTACATGGGTTGCCAGCTCTACCCACTGAGCTAACCGGGCGCCCATGTAAGTTGTTTCTTTATGCAATAACAATAATTCTTCTTGGTTGGTGTAATTGTGGGTAATGGTGTGAATTAAACTTGTTATTATGGCGCCTCTGTTACATTTAGGATGATACATTAGTTTTTGTATTGAGTACAACCAAAGTATGGCCAAAAGAGTGAAGGCAGCCTGGGTAAACCACCTATCTGTCAGCAGCCTCACTCATTACTCAACCTCAAATGTGAGGAACTCTGCCACTATCTTCCTTATTTACACCCTGAGGATAATACGAGGCCCTGATGCAACTGTACATTTCCATGTGAGGAGCCAGTTACTATAAGTGATAACAAACAAGGACATTTGACTCTGGAACAGAAAGACACCTTGTTGTTTTAATAGAGAAACCTAACTACTAGACTACATTTTTAAAGCAACATTAAACGTAGGAATAAATGAAATACAGCAACTCGAGTAAAGTACTTCAAAGTTACAGCCTACTTCAGTAAATGTACTCTCTCCTCAGTTCTGCATCATGTGTAAATAAACTGCTTTAGGCTAAAAGCTGGACTGACTTCACTTGAACCTGATATCTATATATCTCTGATATAGATCAAACAATACAATCTGCCCTGCAGGATCTGTGATATCTGATTAGGGAAGATGTTGGAAGATTATTTTCGTATTACAAACTGTAAAATAATAATTGTGTCACATTGCTGTAGTGGAAACTACCACACCTCTTGTTGAATCACTTCTTTCTTTCTCTGTCAGCAAAATAAAAATTGCGGTCACACTTACTTTAAGTAACCACTGAAACCACATGAAACTCACACCTCTGTATTTTTCATCCGCCTTAAGAAAATGTCACTGTGGCTGCATGAGGAGAGAGAGAGGGTATATAACTAGAGATAATGGCTGCTACTCCAGGTTTATGTAAAAAGGCGTAAAAATCTGCGGTTAGATTACAGCAATGTACTGAATCAAAACTGAGATCTGAGCAGTAAGAGGGAAGATAACAGAGAGAACAGAGAAATAGAGAGAGAGAGAGAGAGAGAGAGAGAGAGAGAGAAACAGAGAGAGACAGACAGAAAGAGAGAGACTCATTAATGCCTGGAACCTGTGCATAATCTTACTGTAACTTTGGACACGCTTCAGGACAGCGTGTTTAGTATTTAAGATTTTGATGAGTATATGTCCCTCTTTGTGTGTGTGTGTGTGTGTGTGTGTGTGTGTGTGTGTGTGTGTGTGTGTGTGTGTGTGTGTGTGTGTGTTTACTTCCCAGCAAGTGCTCAAGTGTCTTTTTCACTGTTCATTTTACTTTACCCAGGAAGAACAACATCCCTTTCCTGAAGGCTGGAGAGAAGCCCCACTCGCGACCACAGACCAAGTCAGGCGTGGACCTGGGAAAACAACTAAAGGTCCCCGAACACATCGCCCAGACTTGATCATCTACTCAGATGCTACCAAGCAGGTGATCATGTGGGAGCTGACTGTGCCATGGGAAGAGAACATGGAGGAGGCACACGAGAGGAAGCAGGCAAAATACATCGAAATACCAAGACCTGGTGGAGGAGTGCAGGAGCCGGGGCTGGCGGGCTCACTGCGAACCTATCGAGGTGGGCTGCCGGGGGTTTGCTGGGCGTTCAACCTGCAAAGCTCTGTCAGGGCTAGGGGTGACCGGAGCTGTTAAGAGGGGAGTCATAAGTTCCATAAAGCCGCAGAGAAAGCCACACGATGGATAAAGAGGGCGAGCCCGTGGATTGGTGCCGCTGGGATGCAATCTGGGCCTTGACCAACCCCGGATGGGTCACCTGAGTGAGGCAGTCTGATGCTGAGAGACCCGAAACCCCCGATGACCCCAGGAACATCACTGATGATGTATCCCAGCGCATCCTAGAGATGTATTTAAAACCATACAAATGTTTTATAATCCAGCCTCCAAACCTGTAAAATTGCGGCTGTGTAGAGGAAATAAAACCTAACAGTGTCCCTACCAACAATCTGACACTTTTTACCTCTCAAAATCTTTTTTTCCCCCGGTGTAATTAGATCAAATAAATACGTAATTAAAGGGGAACCTGGTCGATAAATAATCAGGCAAATTAGAAGAAAAAGAATTTAGGCCCAAAATATATATACACACACACACACACACACACACACACACACACACACACGTTGGAATTGTCATGCACATGGAGCAGTCAGTCCAGCAGTCCAGATGAGATGATTCATGAGTCATCGCCTGCCCAAGCCCATTTTGCCCAACAAGCCCCAAACAGTTTTCTACAACCAAAGTAAACAGGGGGAACAACCAAAGTATGACTGCACTAAATTCTTACACATAACCCGTTTGTGACCAAAGACTATATCTAATAAATATAAATAGGCTGTGAAAATACTCAGTGTAAAAAGACAGAGCTGTACCCTCTTTTATTGTTACAGCGGGTCAAAGTGAAGCCACTGTAACATGTAAAGGGACGATGCATCATATTTTAGCCTGTGTGTGTGCGTGCGTGTGTTATTGAGCAAACAGAGCACTTGTCAAAGAGTCACTATTAGCAGGCAACCAAGAGAGAGAAGCTCTGTAACGGAGCTCCTGATTCAGTTAATTTAAACAGGTACTCCACCCTAAAACTTGTTCTTCTAGTTTTGGAGTGTATTAAAGTGTAGACATTTGACATGAGGAAGAATGCAGATGGGATATGATTAATAAAACACACAAACCTCTGCACATGACTAGCGGGTTTGGCTGATTGTATGATCATTTTTATGGTAGTTGTTTCTGACTTTGTTTGCGTGTGTTTGTGCTCCAGGCCCTGGGTTGGGCTTTGTTATCAAGTGGATGAAAGACAGGAACATAAGCTGTGTGTGTGTGTGTGTGTGTGTGTGTGTGTGTGTGTGTGTGTGTGGCTGCCATTGCTTTGTTAAAATGTGATGCCAACAGCGATAGAAAATGAATGGTTAAAATAACGTTGCACTATGTAACCTCTATGTGCACACACAAGGATGACAACGAAAGTATGTGCATTTCAATGCGATGACTTGCGGGCGCAGAACAAAATAATAATACCCCAGTTCATTTGAGTGTATTAATGGTTTTACTTAACATATTTAATTAATTAATTACATTTACATTTAAATCTAAATCATATTAGAGTACAGCAGTTACCGTAATAAGACATTCATAAATCTTTAATTCAACCTGACTAATCAGTCGTCCTTCATGCAAAGTCTGTTTTTCCCCCAGGAGAAATTGAAGAGATGAGCTCACACCAGCCAGTTAAAGTAGTCGGACAGGACGTCATCCTGCCACAGAAGACCCTCACTCAGTGTGTCAACTCTGGAGACTCTTTACAACCCTTGTACATGGACAGGATGATCCTAACATTCAGGATATTACAGGAAGTCTCTTTCAGGATTAAATGAGCAATGGAAACCTTTCACTGACACAGGATATTACCACTCTTTTGTTTCTGAACTGGACAGCCGGATCATGAAAGGAAGTCGCCCTCCATTGTTGGTGAGTACAGTTTACTAAATAGTTAATAAAGAGACACTCCAGGGATTCACTTTCATAAAGTTGAAGAGACAGATTTGAGCAAGAATGATCCACACTGACGCAGCAGAGGCTGATATTCAGACTTTTGGGTCCTTGTATGGGTTCAAGTTGGACAAACACTGGCTCCTACATAATAATAATAATAATAATACATTAAATTTATAGAGCACTTTTCAAGAAACTCAAAGACACTTCACATGAGTTAAACGTAAAATAAAAAGCTTAAAACAACACACTAAGAAATTATAGCTATATCTACAACAGTCAACAATAATGTGTTGTTAACATCATTAAAAGCAGTTCTGAAGAGGAGGGTTTTGATCAGTGATTTGAAGTTGTATGGATCAGTACAGTCAGGAGTGTGGTGATGGAGCAGGTCTGCAAGGTGTAGGAGGGGGCCCGGTTGTGGAGGGCTTTGTGAGTGAGGAGAAGGACTTTAAATTGGATCCGTTGTTGGACAGGGAGCCAGTGGAGGTTCTGGAGGACAGGGGTGAGGTGGTCAGTGAAGTTCTGGATGAACTGAAGTAGGACTTTAATTCTGGGTGTGATGAAAGCGTGGACGAGGGTCTCAGCAGCAGAAGAGGAGAGTGAGGGGCGGAGGCGTGCAATGTTTTTCTGGTACATTTCCCATAATGCAACTTAACTTCAACTCAAGAACAAGCATCTTTCCTCAGACTTACCTGCCTTAGAAAAACCTGCTTCTTTTAAACCCTCCGGTGTGTAGGCCTCTCTAAGGCCAAGAGAAACTCCCTCCAGAGACACAGAACAAATGGAACTGTTCTCAAAATGTGAACTTGTCCCTATAGGATAGGATAGGATAAGATAAAATGTGATCTATGTAGTTGGTGTCACTTTTATGATGTGTGTAAATACTCATATTAGTGAAAAGGGTCTCTGTGTCTTACATTATTGCTCCTTTAAATACTAAAAGCACATATAAATAATGCCAGAGTCTGACACAAGGGGTTGCTGGTTACCTTTTTGAGGAAGTGCTGACATCAGACAGATAAACAGTGTAAAAACATTAACAATATACAAAATGTTATGTTCTAAAATTGACATAATTTGTACATTTAATGGGAATAAAGCAATCATTCTGTATCAACATTACAAAGAAATTGTGAGACAGGTGATATGACTGTCCGTGCTGTGCTGTGAGGGTTGCGGTTATTATAGTAACAAAGGCAAGCATTTAAAAAAAAAAAAAAAAAGTTGATGCACAGAAAAGAAAGAGCCTTGGGCAGCTCGTTTCCGCGCCCTCCTTACCCCTCCTTACCCCTCCTCCTCCGCCTCAGCCGCACCCCCCGTACGAGGAGGCTGCACTCCTCTCCTGTACCGTCATTCAGCGATCGACCATGGAGCGGACTCTTCCCCTCCAGCTGCTGTTGGTCTTTTTAACTAGCCTGCTCATTTTTGGCAGCTTTGCTTCTGGAAAACGAATCTCTGCGAACTTTGGAGACACAGTTACGTTTACTGCGAGCGAGAACTGCGCGCACGGAGACTTCAAACTGATGACAGGAGACAACTCTCGGACGGTGGCCATGCGCGCTAAAGATGTCTGGCTCGCAGGGAAAGATTTCAAACACCGGGTGGAGCATCTTTCACCGTCATCTCTAAACTTCACCGGAGTAAACATCAACGACGAAGGCTTGTTTGAGTTCACCTGCCGCGGCGGCGTTCTTACTCGCATCCAACTGAAGGTTTTTTCCCCCTTTAAGCTGTCTGCGACCGAGGGAGAGCCGGTAGAGTTCCTGTGCCGTTCTGCTAGTGTGGCCGTGAAACTTCTAAGATGGGAAAGAAACGGAGAGCTGGTCTGTGAGCTGGACCCTTCCTCCGGGGGGATCAGATATGGGACAGGGTATGAGGGAAGAGTTTCTGTACCGGCTGACTGGAAGCTGACCGGAGACTTCTCTCTGACTTTGGACCGGGTCCATCTGGAGGATGAAGGTCAGTTCATCTGCTTCATCGACAAAGCCGGAACGAGAGGAGACCCTGCTGCTGTGATGATGAAGGTCAACAAGAAAATCCCCAATCACACCATCAGCAGACCCCCACCTGTAACTGTGAGTATTCGGGGGGGGTAGTGGACTGACTGTGCATGGCAAAAAAGTACATTGTCAATATCTTTAGAGACATTTTCTAAAATCAAAGTCAAGAGCTCATGTAAAGTTCCTCCCTGGCTCCCCTGTGGTTCGCACGCTTATGGTCACATAGTTTAGTCATTAATGTTACGCAACAACGTGTTTTCAGGGATAAAACAGGAGACGCTACTTTTGCTGGAAATAAAGTTGGACAAACAAAATATCAGAATCTCTTTTATCTGTAAAAAAAAAAAAACAGGACAGCAACTTAACAGACATAAACTACCATGTAGGATACAGATATGCCTCTGGTCTATGTCCTGTGAGGGCAAGTGACAGCGCACTACTAACTCAAAAGCCAGGTGGTGACTCAAAGGGTGCATGCTTAGAAAACGGTTTTCTAAGAAAGCTTCGAGCAGCAATACCATGTCAAATAAACAACAAAGTCATACTCACAATGTGTGACTGTTGGTGAGCTTGCAGCGGTTATTATTCATTTTAAGTTTGAGATTATAATTTGTTTTAAATGGCCTGTCAAGGGGGAAAGCATTTCATCACAGTCATCAAACCAGTCCCACAGACCACAAAATATGGAGTGTGGACTGGTAGCTGGAGAGGTGCCAGTTTCACCTCCTGAGCAACATTGCAGCCCCATCACTCCACCATCTCTCTCCCCTTTGCATGTGCATGAAGTGTGCATTTCAGCCTGTGTGTGTGTGTGTGTGTGTGTGTGTGTGTGTGTGTGTGTGTGTGTATAAATAGCACATAACAACCATAACATCCATAGACAGTAAGACAAGAGTGCACATTCCTGTGGTGGTGGATATGACAGTATGTACAGTGCAGATGTGTTTTCATTGATATTTATGTTTGAAACTGAAACACTCGTTTACACAGTGGCTGGTTGAGTCACAGGGTTATTGCACAGAGACTGATTTAAATGAAGTATTATTAAATGGTGGGGGTGTGGGGTCATGGGAGGGGCTGCTCTAGTGTTATAGACCTGTTAGTCCAACTGCTTACAATCATGTTAAATGTCGGTGTCACAGTGAATTTAAGTCTGTTTCCTTTTTGTCTTCTCTCCTCTGTAGACGACGCAGGGAACCCCTGAAGAGTGTGCGATTGGAGCTGGGACCATTGCCGGTCTAATAACAATTGTAGGGCTTTTCATCTTTGGAGTCATCTTCTTTTGTCTGTGGCTTCGTTTGTGTCTGAAATCCCGCAGACCAAATGTGCAACGTGGACCTTCGACACCTGAGGAGATAGAATTTGTCAAAAAGGACACTAATGGAAATGAACCCCGTGGAGTGCCTTTCTCAAATGGTCATTCATGAACTGACAGTGGATAAATTATCGGTCCATGAAAAGAATAATTTATTTTGACCTCTTGTGCAATTTTAGGATTAACTTTACTAGAAAAAATTAATGAGTCAGAACTTTTAACACTATGCATTCCACACATTAATCCTGTATTTGCACAATTATATACTCTATTTTTAATACTTCCCTTTGCTGTCTGTTTCCTTGCCAATAAAGTTCTGACTTCCAAAAAGTGATCATCTGTTGTTCGTGTTTTCCTGTTTCCTGACAAACGAAGGAATCCTCTGGAATATGAAATAAAGTGAAAACATTTGAATTGAAAATCTGTAACATAAATAACCTCCAAGAAATATGTAAAACCTGATTTAAAAACTGAACACTGATGAATTCTGGTAACACTCGTCGTATGCATCAGGTAGAACTACCAATAAACAAGAGTGGCGACATTTTGAAAGAAAGGAGAATTATTCTTTTAGGCCAAAATGTCACGTACAGGGTAGCCTAACGTGGTTTGTCACATTTTAGTTGTTGATTCGAGGGTGTAGTCCACTTTGGACATTCCACTACACTCAGCTTTGAATATTGGATGACTCAAAGGTGGTGAGGGCGATGTAGGGGAGGGATGCATGTCTGACAGTGATGGGAAAATAAATTGGCTTATCTAAACACCAAGTAGCTTAAATACCTGGCCCAGCCGGAAACTAAAACACACACAGGTTTATGGTGTGATAGCACCTTGAGCTGTTATAATCAGTTGACTTATCAGCAAACAAAGCAAACACATGCGAGGATAAAGCATAAAGTTAACTTAATAAATGTCTTTCTTGTAACACGTGCAGAGGTTTGTTGAACGCTGGGGCACTTCAGGCTGTGGCCATGGTGTGTCACCTGATGCCAGGGGTAGATCTAGAGGGTTGGTTGGGGTTGTGAGACGGGAGAATCAAATCCAAAAAGCCTATTAAGGACAAAAGGCCACCTTTACCGGTGAGTCAGTTGAGCAGCTTCAAATATTTTGGACTGGATGTTAGGGACCAAGCAGTAAAAGCAGGGACAAAGGTCAAATCAAAGGTTTAATCAGTAGAAAAGATAAAGTGTCTCCACACAATTAAAAGACCCCAAATACACCCAACAACCAATAATGACAAAATACCACATGGCAGTTTATCTATAAGCGTGAATGCATCACTGAAGATGGATGCCATCTTCTGCATTACACACTTTATCTCTAAGCACCATGAGAACATAAAAGCCTATGCTAGAGCAATATTTAATACTGTGCAGCCCTATCTGCTGAAGGATGTGAGTAACTAATAGGACCCACAAGGTTGCGTGCTATCACCTATACTGTACACTAATGACTGCAATAATTATATTAGAGAATAAAATCCAAAAAGCCTACTAAGGATAAAAGGCCAAAACAGACATAAAGTGGTATAGTGTGCACATTTACCGCAGCTGATGAATCAGTACCCACGAGTTAAAATCAGATGAATAGAAAACTTGTACCATGGTGGACAGAGGAGTGTCATCAGGCTGTAGGGAACAGAAACAGAGCACTCAAGTTAAAAGAACACATAACATGTGTCAGTATTGGTAGGCACAAGCAGTGGGGAGAGGAACAGTACATCAAGCTGAGAGAGCAGGTTGGAGACATTTTTGCAACATAATAGGAAGAACCACACCTGTGGGAGAGGTATGGGAATGATAAAGAGGATGGGAGGGGTCAGAAGGTAAGGGGAATATCTAGTTATGACATCTGAAGTGGAAAGGTGCAAGAGTCATTTGTATGGTGCAGTTCAGAAAATGTGTCAGAAGAAGAAGAAGAAGAAGAAGGAGAAGGAGAAGGGAAAGTATTATGACTCAGCATCCAGGGGCCTCATATCTAAAATATGTGCAGCGTTCATATACAGTAAATGGCATTACATTGTGGGTCCAGTCTGCCCTTTGTGCATATATTGGATTGTGACATGTGACACTGACGGATGAATTATTTGTTATGACTGGAACTCAGCTGCAAGGTTTGAGTCATGGTGTGTTTCCCGTACTTAAACGGAGCAATACGTCTGACCTCTGTAAAACCAGAGTCAAATTCCTTGTATGTGCTCACAACGCTCGCCGATAAAAGTGATTGTGATTCTGACTCGCCCTCACAGGCAGGCAGGGTGGTAGAGATGAGGCGTGGACTACAGATCAGCATTCAACACAGTCATTCCTTACAGGCTCTCTGAAAAGCTCCTCACCCTCGGACTGACACCTTCCCTCTGTAACCGGGTGCTGAACTTCCTCACAGACAGACCCCAGTCAGTCAGAGTTGGAGACCGGACATCAGGCATCAGAACTGTGAGCACAGGGATACCCCAGGGCTGCGTGCTAAGTCCGTTGCTCTACACCACGGTTACTGGTCGGATGAGTGGTGGGGAGGAGACGGCGTACAGAAGAGAGGTGGCAGGACTGGTGGCCTGGTGTCAGGAAAATAATCTCTCCCTGAACACAAACAAGACAAAGGAGGTGATTATTGATCCTAGGAGGGGGAGGAGGGAACAGCACACCCCGCTGCGCATCGGTGAGACCGAGGTAGCAGAGAATGTACTTCTTAAGAAGGCTGAGGAATGTGGCACTCCCTCAATCAGACTTCTGCGGTCAGGCAGGTGCTACAGGAGGGTGAAAGCAAGGACAAAGCCTCTGACAGTTTCTGACCCCCGGCCATCAGACTCTTAAACAGTACAGCCCACAGTGTAACATAAACCTCTTGAATCTATTGACTCTCTAATTGCAGCAACCCTTTCTCTGTGTGGTGTCAGTTCTGGCTTTCCTAAGCCCCAACCTGTAGCAGCGACACTCTGCCATTGTACGTCACAGAAATGTTTGGGAACCCCTGATGTAATCGATGAAAAATGTTCTTTAAAAAAAAAAAAAAAGAATAGTAGTCATCAAACACACCACACACTGGAATATCCACCTTTACCGGTGAGTCAGTTGAGCAGCTTCAAATATTTTGGACTGGATGTTAGGGACCAAGCAGTAAAAGCAGGGACAAAGGTCAAATCAAAGGTTTAATCAGTAGAAAAGATAAAGTGTCTCCACACAATTAAAAGACACCAAATACACCCAACAACCAATAATGACAAAATACCACATGGCAGTTTATCTATAAGCGTGAATGCATCACTGAAGATGGATGCCATCTTCTGCATTACACACTTTATCTCTAAGCACCATGAGAACATAAAAGCCTATGCTAGAGCAATATTTAATACTGTGCAGCTCTATCTGCTGAAGGATGAGAGTGTCAACCCTTCACTGATTAATGGTTTTGTTCTTTTTGAACTACTAGGACTCAACAAGTGACAGTCAATGGGACGCTGTCAGAGACTAAACGTAGTGATGCAGCGGACCCACGCCAGCTCGCCTTTTAGTCAAATGACTCAGCAGCAGCATGTGAGGAAACAAAGAGAAAACACGTACAAAATATTGTTCTGATAAACCTACTAATGTTACCCAAAATGTGCGCACTCAAATCGGAAACTTAGCATCATTTGTAAGCCAAAGAATAGACATGCTTAACTAAAACTTATGTTTGGTGATTGGTTGTTTCTGTCTATGTACTGAAATTACAAAAAACATGACACAGACACATAGATTACAACCACTTTATGGTTTCTGCAGTGGATAGGGCCGTCACAAGAGACAATAAACTCAGATTTGATCGACACGTGGCTCCACAAAATCGTGAAATGTTAAGAAAGCTGATTTGATTTTGAGCCAAGACAAACGCTAAGTTGCTTTTTTTGTCATTAATTGTGTTTTTAAATTGCTTTAACTGTTGCTGAGACAGTGAACATGGGTTGCACCTTCTTGGATTATTCTTCCAAAGAATCATTTGACACTGCCTGATACTTGATGCTGTGACATATTTCTACCCGTACCCAGAATGCATTGTGGTTTCATAGCCAGTCCTGTAAAACATTTTCTTTTTTTCCACCACAGGCAGGTTTTGAATCTGCATTTGTACCTCCATGTTGTTTGGCAACCACTGCACAGAAGAACACACCCACATACTCACACACAGCAGTGGGATGACGTGTGGCCCTTTCTGCTGAGACGTTGATGAGGAAGGGAAGTGGGGAGGTGCATGTGTGCACTGTCTGGGCTCCTTTGCCCAGTAACAAGATTGTGGGCTGGGTTCTGGACTTTTTAACCTATAGGACCGAAGGTGAGAACAAATTGATTCATACAAGCTCCATTACATGTGTGGTCTTAAGGCTGCTTTACATTTACAGTGCTAACAGATATTTAGGACTATTTACAACCACTCAGAATACCAGCAATGATAGTAAGATAGAGAGAGAGCCAGCAAGTCAGCCTGAGAGGCGGGGCTTTTATAGCTGGGAAACACCAGGCCCAGGTGCTTCAGGCTATGCCGATTGGTCCAACCCTCAAGTACCTGCTGCCTTAAAAGGAAAGAGATACATACGAACCACTCAGGGGACCATCACAACAAACATTCATACGGATCAGATATAACTGCAGCACCCTCTGTCAATGATTATCTGCCATTATCTGTGAGTCACTACAAGGCCGATTGTTGGTAGCGGTGTGCCTGCTGTCTGACAGAGAGAGAAAGAGACAATATTTGTATAGCGCTATCTCAGGACACTTTTCCAATAGAGCAGGTCTAGACCGTACTCCTTATAAAATGATTTACAAAGACCCAACAGCTCCCACCATGTGCAAGCACTTGGCAATGGCGGCAAGGAAAAACTTATTTTTAAGAGGCAGAAACCTCAGACAGCCCCTGGTTCTAGGTGGTGGCTATCTGCGTCGACTGGTTTGGGTTAGAGAGGGAGAGAGGGAGAGGAACAGAGGAGCTCAGTGCATCACGGGAGGTCTACATAAATAAGGGGAAAGTGTTGACCTGAGCCAGCCGTAGATATAGGCTTTATCAAAGAGAAATGTCTTAAGCCTACTGTTAAATGTGGAGAGGGTGTCTGCCTCCCAAACACAAACAGGAAGCTGGTTCCACAGGAGAGGAGCACAGTACAGCTGTAGTACTCAGCCAAGATTGTTGAGGCCGGGGTGGGGTTGAGGGGGGGGGGCACAGGGTAGTGGTGTACGTGCACTGTCAGAGAGAAACAAAGGAAGAGAGTGAGAGAGTGTGGGTGGCAGCCTGTAACAGTTAGAGGTGCTGAAAGGAGGTTCAAGGGTGCTTCAGCCAACCTTATTATCACTTCTTTTCCTTGCAGCTAAACTCACACATAGTTTGGCCACAAGCCCAGTGTGGTTATATGGCAGGACGGGCACAAAGCAGCTGTGTGTATGAGAAAAAGGCAGGCAGAGAAAAAGGCAGACATGATGATGAGTGGTGTGGTGGTGTGTAGGCCCAGTGGTTTTCATTCATCATTTATGGTTCAATTATTGATTGGCTATGATAACTTGATCACATCCTTTAAACAAACTAAGGTCAGCAAAATCCATGCAAGTTCCATTACATGTGTGGTCTCACCCCTGTTATTTATCCTCTACACATGTGTACATGTGTTTTTTTATATATACTGTATTTTTGTCTTGTTTTCTACTGCAAACCAAATCTACCTTTCGTTACAAATAAAGTAACCTTAAACCTTGAACCTGCTGACTGAGATGTGGTCCTAAGGCTGCTTTACATTTACAGTGCTAACATATATTTAGGAAATACTTACTAACACCTCAGTCTGCTTATAGTCTGTATCATACTTGTTAATCCTAAATAGAGATAAGACAGTGATAGTGTGCACATGATCGCCACCATCTTGCCGTTATTAGGTTGATCCTTATCTTTGAAAACAAACAAACCCTTAGTAATTCATTACACAGTATCTAACCTGGAAACTATCTGAGCCTCCAAATCAGTGGTCACACTTAAAGGACTGAATCCTCCACTTCCCTTATTCTGGCCTTAACATACATTCTTCCACTGTCCTCGCCTCAAATGAGAAAAAAACAAACATTCATACAAATCAAATATAATTACAGCACTCTCTGTCTATGTTTATCTGCCACAGCTGTGAGTCACTACAAGGCCCAGTGTTGGTAGCGGTGTGCTGACAGAGAGAGGAAGAGACAACACTTGTATAGCGGCAATTAAACAAAAGTTATCTCAGCAACATTTTCCAAGAGCAGACCGTACTTCAAGTGTACTTCAGCCAACCTTATTATCTTATCATTATCACTGATTTTCCTTGCAGCTACACTCACACATAGTTTGGCCACAAGGGCAGGGCACAAAGCAGCTGTGTGTATGAGAAAAAGGCAGGGAGGGAAAAAGGCAGGCATGATGAGTGGTGTGGTGGTGTGTAGGCCCAGTGGTTTTCATTAATAGTTTATGGTTCGATTATTGATTGGCTATGAGAACTTGATCACAGTGAAGCCTAAAAACACTCCTTAAGATGATAGCCTCTCAAACTGGGGGTCGATGGTCTAATGTGCATCCACTGCATTAGACGATCCAAAGCTATACGGCAAAATCTCCACAGAAATGTAATCAGACCATCCTTTAATATAGTTATTATTAAAGTAGCCTAAATATCCAGATTTACTTAACTTAGTCTTTTCCTTGCAGCTATTTACCGTATGTTGCACGTTTTATCCAGTTAGTTTATTAATCAGTTTCAGTTCTGTATTTACAAAGACCCAACAGCTCCCACCATGTGCAAGCACTTGGCAATGGCGGCAAAGAAAAACTTCCTATGAAGAGGCAGAAACCTCAGACAGCCCCTGGCTCTAGGCGGGGGCTATCTGCCTCGACCGGTTTGAGTTGGAGAGGGAGAGAGGGAGAGAGGGGGGGGTAGAGGGATTAGTAAGGGAAGTTAGTGACATGCATTAATGGGACATGATTGTGGGCAGAAGGAGAGGGAGAATGTGTATGCACAGCTACAGGGCAGTACTGTTGAAGGCACTGAGGCAATGTTATTTTAGTGCTGGGTGGGGACCATTGATCCACTAGTCCATTTATTAGACAGGAGTGCTGAAGAGCCACATGTGGGTTCAGCAGGAGAGCAGGGGGAGAAGAAAAAACAGTCAAACAAATGGAGATGGTTCATTAAGAAGAATATTATAATGTGTATTTATAAATGTGGTTGTCTTGGGTTAGGAGCAATACAACTTATAAAATGTAGTTTTCCACTTGCAGAAAAGTGATTACAGCTCCTACCTTACCTGGATTCTCTACCCCACAATGATTTGATTTTACTTATAATAGTTATATTTTGCATATCATTGCCTACCTAGTAACCTTTACCGATTGAAATATCTTCAAAAGGACAATATAACCAATAAAATTCAGATTTCCACTTGCCAAAAAGTGATAACAGCTCCTACCCTCTCGCTGAAAGGATTCCTCTTATTCCCCAGGAAGTAAGAAAACACCCACCCAGGACAGGGAGCACGCAGGGCAAGTAAAGCCAGATGATGACTCTAGAGACAAGTGTGAGTCAGACACCCTCAGAGTTCAGAGCTGCTCAAGGTCAGAGAGGAACAGTAGCATTACTTCTTCCTGCCTTGTTGGAACTATAAAGGACATTCAGTGTCCTTCAACATAATTGAATAATCCTTAATGTATGTCTATTCTATGAAAGTGTGCAGGCCTAGAAGCAGGAACGTGAAGGGAAGCATTCATTCTCATTTACTGTCTGTTTGTGATGATGTTAGTTATGATTGTAGTTAAGTTAATATTTTGTTTGGTTTTCCCTTCTTAGCTCTCGCAGTGTGTTCACAGCATGTTTTTTTTTTTTTGGAGCTAAGGTATCATTAATGAAGTTTTTGTGAACCATCAGTTGGAGAGTAAGATAGTTATTCAGCTGGGGATATCACAGTGACACAATGGAACATGTTTCCAAGGTGACTCCATGATTAAAGCAGGTTGAGCCGCATGCCAGCAGTAAAAAATGTCATAGTTTCCCTGGGAGTTGTCCTCTTGTTCACTTGGATTGTACAGTTGAGCTGTAGTCCCAGTGAAAGAACTTGGAATGCTGCGATTAGACTCCTGCTACATGTCAGACACAACGACACATGCCAACATCAGGAGTTAACCTGAATAGTCACACAAACAAAAGGCTGGTATGTGAATCAGAGAAGTCCGACTGTCACATATCCTCGGGTGTGTACAGCGTGCTGATCTGGAGCACACCACCAGTAAAATGGGACTTTAAATCTGTATGAACAGATTAGCAGTAGATTATATAGTGCGGATGTAAGTACAAGTATTAAATTGTTTGACATTATATACAACAGCTAGATATAAATACACTATAGGTAGATATGATTACTGATAGGTAGTTCAGGGGAGTTCAGGGGAAGGGGGTTTCCTCAAGGCAGAGTTTACCAGGCTGACAGCTGATGGGAAAAAGCTTTCTGAGCCTGCTAGTTTGGGAACAGAGAGACCTGTAGCACCTCCCAGAAGGGAGGAGAGCAAATAGTTTGTGACCTGGGTGGGAGGTGGCCCTAAAAATGCTACGCGCCTTCCGCAGCCACTGCTTGATCTGGAGAGCCTCAATCTGGGAAGGTGAACCGGTGATTCGCTGGGCAGTTTTCACCACCTTGCAGAGTTCTCCGGTCCGAGTCAGAGCAGTTATCATACCAGACTGTGATGCAGTTGGCAAGGATGCTCTCGATGGTGCAGCGGTAGAAGTTCACCAGAATCTGAGGAGACAGATGGGCCTTCTTGAGTCTCCTCAAAAAGAAGAGACGCTGGTGAGCCTTCTTGACCAGGGGCACCGGCACGGTGGATGTGGTTTTGAAGCACGTAGGGACAACTGCTTGGGCCAGTGACAGGTTGAAGATGTTGGTCAGGACCTCAGTCAGCTGTCCAGCACAGGCCCTGAGCACACGTCCAGGGATGCCATCAGGACCAGCAGCCTTACGTGCATTAGCCCTGCTCAGAACAGCACACACGTCGGTGGGGGAGAGTGTGAGGGGTTGGTGGTCTGCAGGGCCCCCTTCCCTCAAAGCAACATAAGAGTTATGAGCTCATCGGCAAAAACACACTCCAGTCTGTGTTTTCAAACCGGTGCTGTAGTGTAGAGTCAGCTCCTTCTGGCCACACTTTAACAGTTCTTACAGCAGGTTTCACACGTTTGATGAGTGGTGTGGTGGTGTGTAGGCCCAGTGGTTTTCAACAGGGGTCCTTGAGTGGGCCCCAGAAAAAGGACAACGAGAATATTTGAACGTTAATGTTATCATCGTTTATGTTTCGATTATTGATTGGCTATGAGAACTTGATCACATTGAAGCCTAAAAACCTTCCTTAAGATGATAGCCTCTCAAACTGGGGGTCGGTGGTCTAATGTGCATCCAGTGCATTAGACGATCCAAAGCCATACGGCAAAACCTCCAAAGAAATGTAATCAGACCATCCTTTAATATAGTTATTATTAAAGTAGCCTAAATATCCAGATTTACTTAACTTCTTAACTACTACTTAAAGTCTTTTCCTTGCAGCTATTTACCGTATGTTGCAGGTTTTATCCAGTTAGTTTATTAATCAGTTTCAGTTCTGTATGGACCAAAAAGTTTAGTTTTATTCAAAAAGGCAGTTGAAGCCTTCATATTACGATAAAGTTGTAATATATTAAATTGAAAGTAGAATCACTTCTTGTGTGGTCTCCCTATATGGCCATAAACACACTTGTTCTCCTTAACACTTTAATAAATGGTGTACAATCTGCGTAAAGATACCACAGTTAACTAGAAAATAATATATCATTAGTTTTATTGGTAACATAAGTGATGTACCTCTAACAGCAGCTGGAACAAACAATGGAACATTTGTAAACTGGGGATGATCTGGATGTCTGAAGTCTAATGAAAGCTTACTTAAACATGTGCGAACAAGAACACAGAACAGTTAACGTCAAATCACTGTGAGGTGAGAACGGACAAAGAAAAATTCCCACGGCAGATCAGACACATTCCTGAGAAGGAATGAGCTCAATTAGATGAGCTGGACCTGACCCACCCAACATTTTATACACGATCAACACTGTTTATGTTTAGTTCTTTTCCAGAGGGGCTGAGGTTCACCATGCCACAAACTTTAAAATAGTTTATTTTTCTAAGAAGACAAAGACACTTCTCAGATTACTGCATTGGCTACGAGTTTCTCACCTATTGCCTGTCCATTAAGATAATGAACAGTTTAGGTCCAAGATACCTTTCAGACCTCCTGACCCCGTCTGAACCTGGCAGACCTCTAAGGTCAGCTGGTTCTGGATTACTGGCTGAGTCAAACCTAAGCAAACATGCATTAGTTTCTATGCTGCTCAAATATGGAACAAACTGCCAGAACAACAGTGCTGCTACTTTCAAATCTAAGCTAAAGACCTACCTGTTTATCATTATCATTGTATTTGTTACATTTGTTTTATTGTTTTTATTGTGTGCTCTTGCTTGCTTGCTTTCATCATTTGTTTCTTGTTATGTTTGTGCTTTGCATCCATTTATTGTCATTCAGGGCTCCAAAATCACTCTAGTTGGTTAGATTTCATAGATTCCATCATGCCATCTGTTTCATTAGGCAGAAGGAAGATATCCTGACACTGGGTCACTTACAATAGCCCTGCATTAACACACTCACACTCTGGCAAGCTGCCCAGACTCACCACTACGCAGCGCTGTGTCACTGTAATGTAATTGTGCCACAGACGGTACCCTAACCCTGTCAGTCTCCCACCAAAGAGCCACTCTAACGCTCTTATTAGCTTCAAATATGCTGATAAGAGCTCCTGGAATAATCCCAATATTTCCTGTCTGCAACAACCATGTGGAGTATCCCAACATCACTGTGTTCGCTCGGCAACTCACTCTGTGACTGCAACAAGGGCCACTAATTTAAAGCTATTTATAATCGAAGTCTCGACATTTACTCTCCGTCCTGTGAAGACAGTCTCAAAAGATTTATCAGATAAACTTTAACCCCGATTTAACAGTGTGAAATTTGGGCTCAAATGAAATGAAATGAATAACCAGTTTTACTTAAGTGTGGGAATTAGTATGACCAAGGATATATCACACTAAAATATGATGTAGTTGTATTTATTTAACAGTTATCACAGTTCAGTGAGTCATTTAATCCAACATACTGATGCATCTTAAAATCGAAACCTTGTTGCTCAAGCAATCTTTTAGGTTAATAAAGGTGGTTCTCAGGGGCGGATCTAGAAAAATATTTATGGGGTGGCGAGAGGGAGGCAGGAATTTTTGAAGGGTGGCAACATATGGCAGACTTGTATATATACTGAATTTAATCACAGTTTGATGACAAATAGTGTGTACACACTACAAAAGGGCACGGGCTGCCATTTACAAACTCATACAGACAAACTTAATCTCTTGCATTTGAGGTTTCATGTGAAACAGTTCATATTAGGAAGAAGTGACCATACAATGTGATCTCACTTAATAGGAGAAGTATGGTAACACTACTGTAGGTGGGGCATTATCACAGGAAAGGCATTAAGGTAAAGCACAGGTGATGAGTGGCAGATGTATCAGAGGGGAAGCAAACAGTTTTTGATTGTGTCAGAGAGGCAGCGTTGCAGGCAACATTAGTACCAGAAGAAACTATCCAAAGAAACACTTACCCATGAAGATCTATGGACTGAGCTGTACTAAGGTGAGCATAAATACACTGTGGAAATAAATGGGTCACGGCACTCAAACAAGGTACTGGACATGACTTTTATTGTTTACTCAGAACACACATTCTCCCCATTTGTCCCTCAGTAGCTTGAACAATTTTTTGACATTTTTTTTACACCATTTACACCAGTGTCACATTTTAAACTTTTCTTTCTCACACACACAGAAATTTAAAGTGCAGATTCTGTTGAGGTCATCATTTTAACAGCTTTTTAAAGGCTCACCAGTGAGCATAACATGAAGTTGTCATTCCTATAACAGCTGAATGCGGCGATTTCCATGTTGCTCAGCAAACCGCTTCACAAATGTATCTAGATCTAATGCTTTTGTGCGTTTTGATTCAATGCTGAGTACAGCCAAACTCGATAGTCTCTTTTCTGTCATAGTAGACCGTAAATAAGTCTTTATGAGCCTGAGAGATGAAAAACTTTGTTCACAGGATGCACTGCTCACAGGTAAAACAACCGCTATGTTACACAACCTGAACAACTCATAAAAAACATCCTCGTATGGTTTCAAAAACTGAGTGAACTCCATTAGAGTGGTAGGACTCTCCTTTTCCCCCTTTTTTCTGTCTAGTACTCTCCTCGTCTGATGTAACTCGTGTTTGAGATCCTCAATATTTGAATCATAAGCTTCAGCCAATAACAGAACAGCCTCCTCTCTCAAAAAAGTTGGACTTGACGGATTTAGTGCCTGGACACCCTGCATAATGTTACAATTTGTGTTAGAAAATCTTCTTCCTATTTCTCCAATCATGTTATCCAGAACTGGATAGTACACAGAGACACAAAAAGTGTGTTTGCTATCTGGAACTACATGCTGTCCCAAGGTGGAGTGGATGACAGTACCCTGAAGCACCTTTGTTGTCTGTCTTGGCCTCTTTGGTTTTCGCTGAGTTGTATCAATGTTACTTCGTTGACATAAATCAAGTGTGTCACTCCACATTTCCTCAAAAGACGCTTGACGACGGTACTGGACCAGTGTCTCTTTAAGTGCTTCAATAAGTTCAACAGCCTTAGCATAGTCCACTGCTTTAGACTGGAGCATGTCACTTGGAGTCACTCAGGACCTTTCTGAACAGAACAAGAGATCCAGCAAAATTCAGATCAATTTGAGCCAATATCCCTCTTGCTTCAACAGCTCTTTGTGGATGGTTCTCAGATGCGATCTCTTCAAGCACCTGTACTATTGCAGGCAAC